TATCTACCAGCATTCATTCTTCGGGTTCTACATAAATTCTATCGTTCTTAGGCCACAGGACACTCTACTACGTATACCGACTCCAGTTTTCATCGCGAGGACTCGGGAGTCGGATATTTCACGGATCAAGGAACTATTCAATTCCAGCCCAACAGCCCATGTACGTTGATGATCATCGCCAAGTAAGCCAATATACTCGTATCCCTCAAATGATCGCCATGGCAGCACCGTTTATATGTGGAATATTATCAAGGCCCTGACGGAAGCTACTACTCGTGCGTCTTCGCCAAGGATTTTAACGTGACTGAGAGATCAAGGCATTTGACCAATTGAAACACCGAAATCCCTTTCTTCACCGAGTCAGGTGAAAATTCTTGGCGAAGACGCGCGAGTACATAGAACTGTTTTTCTAATAATCATCTGGCCTCTAACGATTCGGTTCAATTGCCGAACGCCGTTAATTATTTTAGGGCATCGATTCCCCTCACGTGCCCTGAGTCCTTCCTTGTAATTATATATAAACGTTTATTTCCGTACTTCTTTTGAATGCTAGTTTACTCGCGACAGATAATGAATGCACGGGACCATATCTCTAACCCATAGATGCATTTCTCACCCAATTGCAATAAGACCAATGGAGACTTCCTATGGGCGAGCTCTATTTCTCAGGGGTAAATATATACGCAGATACTCTAGGCACTCACGTGCGAATTTGTGGTTTCAGGGCTCATCGTTACACTGTGTTCTACCCCCATCTCATCTCAGTTCGGTTCAAAAAGTTTACACTAGACATCCCCTGTCGCTCGGATCCAACACTTTGGTCACCAAGATTACATACTCCAAAACAGATGATTTGAAGAGATAATTAATGAACAGAGTATTATTACAAAGTGGCGGGTATAATGGGAAATCTCCAATCACCGAGGGGCCAAGGAGCACGTGTTTTTCTTTTATATGAAGAACCTGGTACGTTACATCAAGCATTTTACTCTTAGTCAGATAGAGTAGAGTAGGCACGCCACGGAATTCTCCCGGTTCTCATGATTGGTTGGTAAGCTTTAGGTACATACATATATCCTTGCTTGTTTATTGCGACTATCACGTTGCCTGATTGCGTCTGTTAATTTTTCCGGCATGAGCAGCGCAAGTATCCTGCAGAAAAGAAAACACAAAAATATTCCAAGGAGCTGTTGCCTAGTAGTCATGATCATATCAGACCAAAAGACGGAAACTTCGGGAACCTCGGGATATTGCATTATTAATATCGACTCCCGGCCCGGCTATGCAGAATATATGCGCAATACTTAACATGGTGCGGAGATAATATTTATTTTATTGGAACAAACAACCTCCGCTCAGAACCCCGACTCTACTAATTCAAAGAAAGGTCTTCTGTCTCATTTTACTTTAGATAGAGGTAGAGATCTCCCTACTTGGTTTTGCCTTACTCTAGTAAGCTACATGGCTTGTTTCCGTTCTAATCCGGCTTAGCTTGTTATACTTACCTATCTATAGTAAACTAACCGCGTTTGAACTGCCGCCAGTTCTAGATAATCGGTAGTTAGATCTGTCCCAAGCGACGGGAAATGACCGGGATTCAAGTTGAAGTCGATCACAGCCTCCTTGATCCGAAAACCTAAGTGTTTAAATCAAGGGAACCGGAGTTTTCTGAATCGTTGATCATGGGCGGAGAGACACGTAGGTACGCAGAGGGGAAAAAAAAAAACCCGGGGTAACCCCACAAACAAGCACTCGGTCTGATTAGGGTCAAATCGCGATCCGATCGCTTTTCCCACCCAGCATATGCAGAAGGAACTTGAATAAGTAAAGGAACATGTGTACCACCGAGGTATGTATAGCAGGTACTCTAAATAAACCTTTCTTGTCCACCTTAAATATTCATCTGCTCTAACAGGCCGAAATTAACAGGGGGACAAAACCAAAGGTGGTTGGGAAAGAGGGGAAGGAGAAAAAGCCACAAGTAGGCGGGAAATGATGGGCATTCTCGAAATATGATGGTGTATAATACCCTATTATCCTCTAGGGTTAGGGCTTCACGGATACTCACTCGATCGTGTTGGCTGAAAGCTTGGGGCGAGCTGGGTAAACACATTGGTAGAGCAGGTAGTCTCCCAATTCACCATGAGACCTTCGAGCCTTGCAACATCTCATGTACTCTAATCTAACGACCGTTCCACTGGCACATTCCGAGTTTCATTTATCCCACGCAGCTAAGAATCTCTCCACGCGCGCGCGCCGTGACTAAGAGTACTCTAGGTACATGTACCTACACCACGGTACCCCGCGTGACCCCACGCTCAAGCAATTAAGCAACCAGAACCTAAACCTAAATTAACATCCTCGAACATGATTGGATTTCGAACTTTCTGCTGATGCTTACTCACGGGTCGGTCGGCATCTCTGCACGGAGGCGCGTGTCTTTTTTTCTCTTAAGCTCCGATACCCATCGTGGGGGGTTTATAGGAGGCGAGGGAGGCGCTAGAATACCTAGAATGGGTGAATACAATACGTACACGTAAAACGCTCCCTACCTTCTAGGCTCCAGGTGCTCTATGATACGTAAAGCGGTGTATACACAACTTTGTACGGGTAGGGTAGATACATTGACTTGTTCTCGGTACCGGTATTCAACGAATCGTATCCCCCCATGCTCTAGATTCGCGTCAAACTACCTAGGTACCCTAGAGTACAAACTTTAGCATTAGGGCCCTAAACAGAACGTCTGAATCCAGTACCCGCATGATCGTGATCGCTTCCTATCTCGGTCTCGCCTAAGTCCCGCATTTGCTGGGGAGGACGCGTACGATGATCTCGGCGCAGCTGGCTTTCCCTGCCTGTCAACCCTCAACCTTGGTTTTCCCGGGCTGGCTGGAGAGCCAAGGGCTGGGCGATGATAGATAGGGTGGGAATGAGCTTGGCAAGATATGGTTGTAGATACACGTTGTGGTTATTCCGGTTGCCTAGGGACCTGAACCTTGGTCAATTCCCCTTTTCTTGGGTGCACGAACGAGTAGAACGATTTATTAGAGACGGGTAGAGTAGATAGGTGATCAAATGTAATCATACGACAGAACTATATTTATGAATATGATGTGTGTAGCACCACTCTACACAATTATGCAGACCGATATGCTGATCTCTACATACCTAGGAGGTGAAGAATCAGAATGATAGGTACATGTGAGGTGCTTTACCCGGGAGCAGGGGATTCGCCTGGTAATGATACATGTATTCCAGTCATTGCAACGTTGGGTTGGGTTGTCAAGCAAGCATTGTATGTAGGTACACAGTGTATCACTCGAAAAACATAACACGACGTGACTGTAAGACCTCACGTCGATCAAAGATAAGTGCCATGCTGCTCACGTATCGTGTGCAACTCTGTGGACCACCGGCGTGTTGTAAGGCAAAAACGCCAAATTTCGACATCAACCTTACTTGAACCATACATACACAAACGATACTAGGGGGCCGTGTTCGCCTGCCAACCCTTTCTTACCTCTCTGAAGTCTGAACTGGAAACCTCTAGATCTATGTCTCTAGTATGCTTATTTATTAGATACCAAGCATGGAGTACGTCACGATCTCCCCCAGTATGTATGTAATCGTTCTGGAGCTGAATGTTTGTCTCGGCGCGGACGACACGGGGCTATCTAACGTTACTTGGCACTCGGCCGCGATTTTTTTGGATTTTTTTTCTTGCTACCCGCTGCGGGTAGGGTCCGGCAGGGATGTGAACGGATGTCACGCAGGCGAGACACCACAGTATTTGGTTTCGAGGAATGGGGAGAGGGTTCGTTCGTGAGCTTCGAATTTGGTTCGCCGAAGGTCTCGGTGAACCTTCTCTCTTTCGTGCTGGTACCTGAGTAGGGCAGCAGCTACCTATGGCCCGGGTTTTCCCAGGTGACTATTCTCCTCAGTGCCCATGGAGCAGCGAGTCCGTACGCCTGAGTCTAGAAGAGATCCTCTTGTAAGGCCCGTCCGTTTTAAAGTGCTCTTCATAAAAATCAGCCGTTGCGTACTCTAACTCCTAGAGTATGTACCGGCTTTCCTGCTTGCTTTCCTGCTTGCTTGACCGTGTCTCAGTTGCTGAAAAATAATTAATCCAACAAATATAATTTACGCACCCCCGCTTTCCCTTGGATGGACAGACGAGAGGTTAATTGCACTGCCCCCCCTCCCCGTTTATTTTTTTTGCTTGGCCTGCGTGTATGACTGCCGGAGTTGTATGGCCAAGAGTCCAAGAGATGTAGGCCAAGAGGCACCATGGCGGTGGTGATGGGTGCGTGGGAACGAAGCGAACGGGAGGTAGCGGTTGTGGTGGTGTGGAGCACGTGCGGATAGCAGTTGAGGACGAGAAGGAAGAAGAGCTAGAGCAGAGTGCTCAGGGAATGGAACAAGCTCATGGAAGGCCTGTAAGGGTTTTGGGGAGGGGGGATGGGGACGGCGAAACACGCGAAAGAGGTGAAGGTTGGAAAAGCATGAGAAAGTTATCGTGAAGCCGAAGGAGGAGAGGTGGAACTAAGGCAAGCTCGCGGATCAGATAAAGGACTGGATGGCAGCGTAACTTTTTTTGGGGTGGACCCCTGCCAATGTGCAAAGGGGAGGTCATCACGTTCTGTGCATGGCCAGATGGCGCTGCTCTATCAGAAGAGCAATAGGGTCTGCGTGTCTTAGTCCACCCAGAGTACCGGAAACAGAAGCAGGCGAGATGAAGAAACCGAAAAGAGTGTATCGTCGTAGGGTTGCACATATGCAAAACCTGGACGTTATTGATAGTGGGTTCATGTCCTCCATGCAGTCAACAAGTGGAATTTGGTAGGGCAGTGATTCAAAGGTACTTTACACACATCTTATTTTTTTTTCCTGCTGTAGAAGAAGAAGAGGGGGAATTTGACAATTCTCTTCCCTGTTGCTTTCTCTCCTTTCTGATTCTATTACTTCCCTAGCTAGTAAGTGGTGCCTATATGTACTCAACTCTAATGGCCCCGTGCATGCTGCTTCCACTTGGGTAATTGGCTAATATTTTCCATCGATTTTTTATGGCTTCTTCCCATCTTACAATTGTTTGCATCGTGCAATCGCTTTCGTCGCCCTACACACCGGGCGTTGGTTGCGGTGATATTAGCTGCATGAACCTATGTAGGTAGGTTCCGCAAGGAGACAGAAAGAAAAAAAAAAAGACATGAGAGAAAAAGAGAATTCGTAGAAAGAGCAGCTGTAACGAAATACATACCTAAAACACCCGTTCCTCGAATTACCCGTTCCACAATTCGGGCGAAAATGCGGGTTCTTTCGGCGGAGGCTATTTCTTCGTTTACTCTTTACACTTAACAAACCACTGGGGAAAGTCGAGAGAAAAGACGCACCTTTCTTGTTGCGTCTAGAGCTCCACATTAGGCCCCAGGCCCCCAGACCACCCCTCCCAGGCACCAGATAAAGCAGCAGTAAACAGGGCTGGCAGGCAAGCAAGCAACAGACAGGGCACTTGGATCTTCGTCATCAGTCCACCCGCACCCACTTTACTCTTGTTTGCTAGCACCACCACCACCAGCATAAACTGTTCTCGGCATTATTCAAATTCGACCCAAGAGCTCTCTTTCTCTCACAAGGGATCTACTGTTACTTGCATTTTTTCTTTTCCCTCTCCTCTTTATCTTCAAGCCATCCCACTCCATCTCACATTCTATCCACCTTTGCATCCCCACGCGGTCATCCCAAGAGGATACTTAGCCAACCCACCACCTCACCACCTTTCATTTGGCTTCCCCACTAGAATTTTCCGTTGCTTCTTTCTTTCCACTCAGTCAGTACTCGAAAGCATCATCACCATCAGCTTTCATTCCCTTAAAGGACATCATATTGCTCTTGCAAACAGCATCCTCATAGCAGAGGTAAAGAAAACCTTTCTCCTCTTTCTCACACGAAAAAAGCTGCACTATCTCCCTCAACCCCGATCAATCAACTCTGTTTGTACTATTACATCCATTGCATCCTTCATCGCTCCATCTACTGCCTGTTGGTTCTATTAATTATCTGGCTAGTCCAACCAATCTATCGTGCAGTCAACTGACAACCGTCTAGTGCCACTTAATACTAGATACCTGATTTGCTCACCACTACACCAAGATGTCTCTCGAATCCGCCCTCGAGGAGGAGCGTCTAGAGATCCTTAAGCTTCTCGAAAGACCAAGCAGGACCTCCATGTACCAGCATGCCTCTGGTGCATATTCCACTCCCTCCTCACCCCGACAACAGTACAACTCTGTACTTCCCCCACACCACAGTCGTACTTCATCTCCTATTCGCGGCGCCACAATATCCTCTTTAATTGATATGGCAGACCCACCTCCCACTAGATCTCCAACCACAATTACATGGTCACCAACCGTCACCCAGAATGTCAATGGCAGGCACCGCTCCGAGTCTGGCCCTGTTCTCAATGGGCCCCCAAAACTGCTCAAGGATCGTGACAAGCAAACAAACAGCTTGACCCCGAACGACGCCTACAACTTCTCGATGACGCCATCTGTAGCGCCACCCATTCCACGCAAACCCCGCTCCCGCGATCCAAGTGCTGCGCCTTCCGCTCGAGGAAGCATCGGGCGACGATCAATATCTCCGAATACAGGCGAATTATTGCGGGAGGAGATATTGCGGTCAGCATCACCCCGATCTTCTGTAGGACGCTTATCATCGCCTTCCCGACAGAACCCCCGGATTGCGATGGACAACGAGCCTAAGATAGACCTTGGTCACGCTTACGCCCGGCTAAATGACCAAGCCCTTGCGAGTTCCGGCGGCATACTGGGTCAGCTACCCGAGCGCAAGCCGCTAACAGGTAGCGATGGAGAGCATATACGTGCAGGAACAGGCGAGTCTCTTACTAGCGAAGGTGGTATTCGCCTGCAGAAGGATTACGATCTGGAGGGTGAGCGCGCAGCTGAGGACTCGTCCGAGGAAGAGTCCAGCAGTCTGGGGAGCTCCCCCGGGAGTGAAGAGGAGGACAAAGAGGAGAGGGGTAGGCCAGGATCAAGATCGCGGCGCATAGATGGCGCGAAGCCAAGCTTCGAAGAAAATACTAGGGGATCTACCGGAATCATCAAGAGCATGATCAGGAGTGTCGGCGATCCTGGTGGGGGTGTCAAGAAGAAGGGAAAGAAGGGTGGTGGTATTGATGCAAAGAAGGGGACAGGCAACATGCGAAAGACTAGCATGAGCTTGTTGGCTGCTGCAGAGGAAGAACGTTTGTTACCTAGGCCGATTTCCCCGCGAATATTCAAAATTAAGTAGCTAACTGTGTTTCACTACAGGCAAGGAAGTATCTTCTAGGTACAAAGTCCGTTCGTTACTTCCCTCAATATCCATTACTCCTTCCGGTAGCACTGTCCCGGGCGCAAATTCCCCCACAACAAGCCGCCGCACGGGGGTGCACCCAACCACAAACTTTGATCTGCCATCTCACACCTCTACCCCCTTGTCATCTGACACGGAAGCAGACGTTCTAGACCTTCGCCGTGCGCAGCGAATGGACATGAGCATTTCCCCCATCGTTTCAACGCCCGAATCCCAACGTGTTGTCCGAACTATTCTGCGTGGTGAATATGCAGAAATTTCCAAGGAAGCCGAGGAGGGAAACAGACGGGCCCGCAAATACCTTGTTGCTACGGATCTCAGTGGTGAGGCTCAGCATGCACTCGAATGGACCATCGGAACAGTTCTCAGGGACGGAGACACCCTCATGGCTATCTACGCAATCGACCAAGACACCGTTGAGGATGGCGGCAAGATTGTATCCGACGATGGGATCATTGCCGATATGACTACCCAATTGGCAGTGGGGTCCAACCAGACTCTGACGTCAGGGACGCAAACACCCGGGAGTGCATCACCGCGTACACCATTTCAAGTAATGGAAAGGTCCGAAAGGAGTCGGGAAAGGACAAAAGCGGAGCAGGAGAGATTCGTAGCCGCAGAAGCGATCACATCGCTGGTTTCGAAACTGTTGAAGAAGACGCGACTACAAGTCAAGTGCACTGTGGAGGTGATTCATTGCAAGAGCCCAAAACATCTTCTAACAGAAATCGTGAGTATAGCCTTTCCCCCCCCCATCAGACAAGCTTTATTTGAAACAAGCGAAAATGGTTTAGTAATTCTTATCTTTGCCTTGTACTAACCCCTGCATGCAGATCGATCTTGTAGAACCTACCCTAGTCGTTCTTGGCTCACGAGGCAGAAGCGCTCTCAAAGGGTATATCTTCCGCATATTCTCCTCCTCGATATTCAGGAAGTTGACATCCAACAGTGTACTCCTCGGATCCTTCTCGAACTACCTCGTCACGAAGTCGTCTGTACCTGTTATGGTCGCGCGAAAGAAGCTGAAGCATACAAAGAAGTATGCAAACACAAATGTCCGGCTGGCGAACAACCTGACTGCGAACGCTACAACTAGACAGTTGGCCGACGCGAAAGTCGATTAAGTGAAGACTCAAACGAAAGAAAAAGAAAAAAGGAGAAGAAAAAAAAGAAAAATCCATTCTACTATATAAACGGGCGGGCGGGCGGGCGGGCGGCGGGTTCTTTATTCTTGCGTGTGATTGTGGTTCAGTCTGGGAGTTCTTTTCCTTCCTTTTTTAAACGACGGGCACGAGATTTGTGCGGTATATTATTATGTCTTTACGGGACCCGGAACGGTCGATCGAGCGAGAACACCCCATCAACCTTTTTTTTTCTGTCAGGGCGGCCAGGCAGGTAGGCTTGTGTGGAGGGCGCAAGAGGCCTTCTTTTATGTGTGTTTTGTCTGTGACTTCACCCATTGTAAAACCTCTCTATTCCTTATCCTTTTCTTTCTCTTTTTTCTTCTATTGCTGTGTGTGTGTGTGGTGATTGATCTCGAATTGTAATGATGTACTGTGTTGTGGTCTGTCTGTCGTGCGACGTCACGTCATCGAACGGGACAATGACTCAGTGGGATAAATAAATGACTGGGGCAGGGGAAATCTGGGAATTCAAGGCGTTTGTTGTTTGCTGGTTGTTGTCGTTGCCTACTACTACTTTCTTTTTTCATTTTCTTTTTCTCTCCTTACGATGATACTAATATTTTTTTTCTTTCTCGATGGACTGAACTGAACTCAATTGTATAGTGTTTAGTGATTGATTTCTAAACAATGGGAAGATGTAGAACGAACGGAATGGAACGTGCGAGTGATGATTCGTGAAGTGAGACATGCGCTGCTGTTACATAGTAATTTTATCATAATAGATGAGCTATATAACTTGGCCTGTCGTATCGTACCGTATAGTTAGTAATAGTATTAGTATTAGTAGTGGGAACTGCCGTTAAGATCCTCATAGGCAGGATTGGTGATTGGTTCTGTTTCTCATTTGATCAACTGCTAGTATGGTATGGTGATATGCCTGGATCCTGTGTTCACTACTTTTGATCACTACTTTTCGAAAACAGTTATACATAAGTAATCATAATCCCCTTCCCTGCGTCAGTGAAACAAACACAAATCAATACTCGAGCTCATCTTTCTTTATTAACCTGCATCTCACATATATTTATTTATGTTCCAATTCCGGGTGAATGCGAAAAGAGGGGGGACAGGATACGTAATCCACAATATAAGCCTTTCAAATAGAGCACTGCATAGTGCCTACAACCTAGCTAGGCTGCATATTGTACATGCATAAATTATACATACATAACATACAACCCCTCCATGCAGGAGGGGGGGGGGGGTGTTGTGGTGAAAACCCCGCAAGTTGCTGCATTGAGGGTGGTTGGATCTTCGGTCAAGCTTTTTTTACGGGGGGGCGGGTGCAGTAACCGGGTCCGGGGGTTGCTGTTGCTATGTGCGGTTTGATGCTGGGATCTTCGGTGGTGGGATGTAAGGGTAGTAGTTGTTGCCAGTAAGTGAGGAGTTTGGGCTTGGACTTGGAGGAAGGGGCGGGGATTCGAGGTCATGGATAGAGGATTGAAGGGGTGTCTGGAACTGGGATGATGGCAGTAGTCAGTAGTAGTAGTAGCAGTAGTAGTAGCAGTAGTAGTAGCAGTAGTAGTAGTAATAGTAGTAGCAGTAGTAGTAGCAGTAGTAGTAGTAATAGTAGTATGGATATCTGTAGTAGGTAAGTAATCCAGAAATCGAGCTGGAGCCAGAACATGTTGGAACCTGGAAATGATTATCTTGCAGCTAGAACGGAGGTGTCAATGATCAAGAACCCCGTAGGCTCTCCTCCCACTGCATTATATACACCCCCCCCCCGCCCCCGCCTCTTCCTCTCTCCTTCCCCTACCACTGCCACTCGCCGCCACATCAATGTCGCATGCAGAGTGCAATGGTACGTTTCGCAACAACGGCAGCGATGCCCCGGATGTGCTTGTCACGATACCACTCCAGGTGTTTTATCTCCATTCGGGGGTCTTGAAGAGCGTGTCGAGACGTTTCGCGGCGCATATATGTCTAGGCAGACAGGACGCGCAGCCCATCGGTGGGGCGATCGCGAGGCAGTATCGATTTTATTATGGCGTCGATTATGATGGTGATGGGAATCCGAGTTTGCAGATTACGAGTGGGGAGCATGACCTGGGCGTAAGTTCTCCTTCAGCGTTTGATATAACCTAGCTAGTGCTGAATAGCAGATCTTTTCTCTGTAGCCGGTACCTCCAAGCCGCGAGATCCAAGAGAAGCACTGCGCGGCCTTCCGCACACTCTTCGCCTTCTTCTACCGCCAGCACTCCCCACTTACCACCCTTCCCGAATGCACCGCCGTCGTCGCCCTCGCCGCGAGCCTCGAGGCCCTCGACTCCATAGCAGACAGCATCCGCGCCCGCCTCCTCGAGTGGCCACACATTGATGCGCAGATCCGCGAGGCCCCGACAGCATACCTCGTGCTGGGGTACCGCGTCAAGTCGGTGCGGGTGTTTAGAGAGGCGTTTATCCACGTTGTGGGGAAGCTGTGCGGCCGGCACGAGGGCCTTATGCGCTGGTGTAAGGACCGGAGTGTCCCAGAGAGTGTGGTGGCGCTGGTGAAGGCGGAATGTAGTCGTCTCACGGCGGTGTCTATGACCGCGGTGAAGAGTCTGCAGTGTATTGGGAGTGGTGGCGCGGCGGGTGAGAGGGAGAGTGATCATTATAAGGTTGCGGTTGCGGTGCTGAGAGAGCGGTTGGCGTCATGCTTGGAGCTGCATGGTGGAGAGGGAAGTGAGGGAGCGCTGTTTAGAATGATTGTGAATTGTAGGTTTGATATCTCGGCGTATGATGTGGAGAGGTACTCGACTCGGGCGAATGTAGATGCGGTGGTGAACAGCTCGGCGAGAATAGTGGAGAGGATTAGAGAGATTGCAAGAAGGCTGGTAAAGAATAACTTGAGACGGGGGGAAGAGATGGCGTATTTGACGTGTGCGGAGTTGGCGGACGATGAGGTGCCGTGGGTGACATGTAGTCAGTGAGGGAAATGATTGTGCGGCAGGTTTTTTAGGTTTTTTTAAAGTTACTATAGTTTAGGCGGCAATTGACAGGGGGGGACTAACTAAATGTATTGATGAGCTTGATGGGGGCATATTTCTTACAATAGATGAGTGACATCGAGTATAAAGTACGTTCAAAAGTCCGAGGCGAGCATCAAGATTCGGGTATATAAATGAGCCGAGTGATAACAGGTGACTGAATAGATTCTGGTGTAGGCATGTACCTCTTCAAGTTTCGGTCAGTTCGGGTTCCTATTCAGTATTATTTCATCGATAGAGGTGTGAGCCCTGATTGCGAGAATTTAAGTGGATTATTAGAATGAGATGGTTAGAAGCGAAACATACGTTTAGTGTGGTCGACGAGCTAGCTCGAGACGAGCAAGAGGAAAAGCTCGAATCAGCTCGTCTCGATTCGACTTGTAAATACTCGAGCTTTTCAGTGTTCTCAGATATTTGCCCTTGAAGTCATTCTAGATATATATCGATCTCTCCACTGGAACTGATGCCCCCAGGGTTAGGGTTTCCTACTCTCACATTTCGTAAAATCAATTACATACCAAGGATATTATCCGCATTTTTAGCATGGTTAAAATAACATCCCCAGGGCTCAAGCCTTTTCAAGCCGAGCAGTGGAAGGAGCTCGAGCAAACTCGACTCGTGAGGGTGGCCGCTCGTGGCTGCTCGAGCTTTGGGCTCGGCTCGTCTCGTCGGCCACACTGCGTGCGTTGTATTTAGCATTGGGGATGTGTTATTTGACTACAAGTACATGTAGCCAAATATTAACCGTTATGTAGCAGGTGAAGATGAAAAAGAAGAATGTAGACGGAGGGGGAAGAGGGAAGAGGGGCTTCACTTGAAAGATTACAGATGCGTACAAGTATATGCCACATCTCACAGAATACGGTGTCTACAACCTTTATATACAACCCGTCTTTCTGAATGGATCGGTGGATACCGTACCCACAAAGCGGAAGGGCCAACACTATAATATCATCTAACAGCTATATAAACACACCGTTAATTCCTCTTCCTCACTTCCTGAATATCCTTGCTCATCTCACATCTCGCATCTCCTCCCGCAAGAATATAGCCGCTGTTGGTTTTGGGGTCTTTAGCTAGACCGAGGAATTAAAGGGAAGTAGTTTTCTGTTTCTCTGCCGGTTTTATTCTACATTGCAGCCGAGCCCCCCTCACCCTTCATCCCCCCCCCCCCCCCTTTTTCTTCATCGTCTATGATCTATAAATGCTGGAGTTAATTACAGTGAAATGATCAAACAGCGATCGTGAAGAACCGGCGACAACTACATGTACTTTGATTTTAACCTTAACGATATGTACTAGTGCTATCTACGAGTAAGTTGATATTTGAACGAATCCTTCCTCTAGATTGAGTCTTCCCAGTCTGCAGATAACACTGCTCAAGAAAACGACCTTGGTTTGAATCGGACGGTATAGTGGATTTAACCTCACGCACGCATTCCTGAATATCCCTCTTACACTACATGTAGTGTTAAGTTATCAACTTTGCCAAGTCTCGATTTCAATTCTGTGGCTTATATTTGTAGCACTTAAGCACATGTAGACAATCAACCACTGCATCACTCACTCTAGCTATATACCCACTACCTACTGTACATCTACATCTACACCGAGTGACGCCCCATGAAGAACACACCAAACACAAACACACACAAACACAAACACACCACAAACACACCACAAACACATAAACACACAAACACAAAAACTCATACTTCGCTCCCAATTCATGCAGGCCATGCAGCTCTATTATCCACATCCACACAAACACACGTACACACGTAAAACGCTCCAAACAAATAAAGGAAGGAAGTAAATGAAACGAAACAGAACGGAACGGAAAGGGGTCATGCAATGGGTTAATTGTGGCGGCGGCAGGGGAGAAAAGAGGGGATGGAGGGGGGGGGGGGGGGGAGAGGGGAGAGAGGGAAGAGAAGGAAGGGGGGGGGGGGGGGGAGGACTAATACACATATGTAGACAGAGATAGACAGATGAGCGAGCGCAATGATGAATGGAGGGAGAGAGGGGCTAGAACGGTCATGAAGGAAGAAGTAGAATCGAAAGAATGAAAGAGAAAGAATGAAAGAAAGAGAAACCACCCTAAGAAGTACAATAATGATAATGGTAATGATAATGATAACGATAATAATGATGATACCGACAGAGGAGCAGACAACACAGAGAGAGAGAGAGACAGACACAGAGAGAGATAGTATAAAAAGCCAAAGCAATAAGTAACAAACAGCCAAGGATAACACAACAGCTGAAGATAACACAACAGCCAACATAATAAAAGAGAGGAAAGGTAGGAGATGTAGGAAAATAAAGAAAAAAAAGAAAGGACCCATGTATGCTATGCTACAACTGCATGCTCCCATCCCGCGAAAAAAAACCCACAATCGTCATTTTTGTGTGTTTTTGAAAAAAAAGATCTATCCTACCCTATCATATCCTACCATACCATATCATACCATACCATATGCTACGCTATCCACGATATCCAGCCATCCATCCAGCCATCCATGCCACGACTGACAGACAGCCAATCTAAGCCCTACTCCCCGTCCTCCTCACACGCAACATATTCTCCTTACACTCATTACAATACCATTTCGCTACACCCCCCAAATCCACTCGTCAGCACACATCCTCCTTCACCTCATCAAAAGCAAAAAAAAAAAGATAGGGGAAAAAAAGAAAAGGAAAAAAAACATACCCTTCCCCCTCGGCGCCTGCTGCAGTCCCACACAATCCAGATGAAACCACTCCCGGGGACAACTCTCCCCATCACACGCCACCATCTCCCCATAGCTCACCTGCTGGCAGTAACAATATACAGGCTCATCCTCATCGTCCTCCGCGTCCGCCTCCGCATCCGCATCGTCCTCCGGCTCCGGCTCCGGCTCCTCAATCTTCATAGCAGCAACAGCGGCGGCAGACGAGTCTGCGCGCTTACGTGCGCGCTTCGGCCCGCCGCTGTCGGAGGTGGAGGGACGCGCCTTGGAGTGCGATTTGGTGGTGGTGGACGGCTTCTCTTTTTCTGGTGCGTCGTGGGAGGCGCCGGTAGTGGTGGTAGCGGTGGTGGTGGAGACGGTGGAGGCGGCGTCGTCGTGGCGTTTGCGCTTCTTGTCGTCTTTGCGGTCGCTGGAGTCTTTTCGTGCGTGGCCGCCGTGGCCGCCGTGTCCATGCCCGTGTCCATGCCCGTGCCCGTGCCCGTGCCCGTGTGGGTGGGGGTGCGGGTGCTCCATCTCGACGCCTTGCATCTCGTCGGGGTTGCTGCTGGCGACAGTGATGCTGTGGTGCGTCTGTAGGTCCTTTCGCCGCTTGCCGCCCGCTGGCTTCTCTGCTGTTTCTGTGGTGTACGCTTTTGGCGCGTGCGCCTGGGGGTGCTGGTGCGGGTCTGCAGCGGCGGCGATGGTGCCGCCCATGACTACGTCGTTGCGGTCATCGCGGAATGCGTCTGGGCCTGGTGGGGGGCCTGTGACTTTGCTGTTCCTCCTCGCCGCGGGGACCGGGGGGGTGGTGCTATTGTGCCTTCCTCTGCGGCGGCAGCTGCGGTGGTAGAGGCGGCGGCGGCGGTGGGGGTGGGGTCTTTTTCCTTCTTGGTTTTAATAGGCGGGAAGAGGACGTGGAGGGGCGACTGCGGGGGTCCCAGATGCGGTGAGGATGCGGCGACGGAGGTTGGTGTCTGCGCGGGGTGCGCGGGTGTGCCGGTTGTGGTGGTGGTTGTGGCGGGTGCGGGCGCGGTGTTTGTAGCCGTGGCGGGGCCGGGGTTCCTGCTGCGAGAAAGCAGTTAGAACGGGGGCTCTGATGGAAGTGGAGGGTGTGCAGGGCAGCGAGGGCAGTAGGTAGGGCAGGGCAGCGCTGTGCCGGGCCCTCGGGGGGCGGTGTCTCGGAAGGAGCCGCATAAGCGAGATTAGAAAAAAGAAAGGAAAAAACAGTCAGGGGTATCGATAGGTCACAACAACAAAGTTCAATGTCAACAAAGCCGGGGTTGCCAGGGGAATGAGAAGTGAGAAGTGATAGTGATAATAGAGAAGCAGTGGAGTGAGGCAAGGCAAAGAATCTGGGAACAGCAACAAGCAACAACAACGCCTAATAAACAACAATCCATAGATAACAATATCAACAACACCAATAACGCTAGACACCAGCCAGACACTGGGAATGTGCAAAAAAGAACACAAAAAAGGGGTAAAAGAACGACATAGAAAGAAAACAAAAAAGAAAAAAGGAAAGAAAAAAAAAAGGAAGGGATATGCGGCACAAAAACAATAAAGGGCGTTCTTCTCCCCCCCCTTCCCACCCTTCCCTCCCTCCCTTCATCATCCCTCCCCACCACACGGACAGCTGCAGCAGCAACGCAGGGACTGAAAAACACCCGGCGGCTTTTTTTGTCCGTGCGGCGCGGTGGGTGGATGGATGGATGGATGGGTGGGTGTCCCTTTTCTTTGGAAGGAGGTGGCCCCTAAAAAACCTATTAAAGTAGCCCACATCCCCATCTAATTGTACAAGCAGCAGCAGCAGCAAGAAAACAAGAAAGAAAAAAAAAAAAAAAAACAAGGCTCACGCGCGATAGACGCATGGCCTGATAGACAAACTGGGAGAAAGAAAAAAATACATACTCCTGACCCCCCCAACCCCTCCAACCTTGCCCATGGCTAATGACAAAGCAGCAAAAACTGTGCAATAGTATGATAAAAAGATAAAAAATAAGAGATATCAAAACTTCTCCAGAATATAAAGCCCCCCCAAATTCCCCAACCCCGCCCCCACATGACACCGAGAAAATATTACAGTTACGCCTTTTTCTCCGAACAATACTTGTACAGACGCAGACCAAACAGATGAAAGGAGAAGGGAGAGAGAGAAAATTGCCCCAAAAATAAAAGTGCTTGAATCCATGAAGATAAACAAAAAGATAAAAGGAAACATGGTAAAAAAAAAAAAAAAGAAAGACCCCAAGAAAAAGAAAGAAAAAAAATGAAACAAGAGTTCAAAAATGAGACTGGGGAGAATTTACCTTCGTCCCCCTCTACCCGCTCCCGCCCCAGATCCCGACTTCCCTCCCCTCTTGCTTGTCGTACTCGCCGGCGTGCCCGCCCTCGGGCTGACCGCGCCCTTTGTCGCCGTCCCCGGTGCCGACACCTTCTCCGCCGTCGGCGTCTCCTTTGTCGTATTCGTCGTCTTTCGTCTCTTCTGCTGCGGCGGAACAAGCGGTGTAGTCGCTGTAGCGGCTGCGGCTGCTGCAGCTGCAGCAGCAGCCGGTATGAGCCCACCACCCCCGTTCGCCGATTGGTGCTCGGCCATCCGCTTTGCCGATGCCAGGGCCTCCTGTTCCTTCCGTATTTTTGAGTTTCCGTGCAACTTCTTTGTCGGCTGAGCGTGGTGGTTCTGGTCTCTTGGGGCCTGCTCATCCTCCTCATGAGCCGATGCTGCTGCCGCTGCTGCCGCTGCCGCCTGTTGTTGCTGGGCTGCCGCCGCCTTCTGCCGTAGTAGTGCCTCCCGTCTAGTTTCCGAGCGCGTATTTGACGTCTCCAACTCCCTCTGCTGCTGCGCAGCATGATGCCTCTCCTCTGCCTCCCTCTGCGCGCGCTCGGCCGCCCGAGCCTGTGCCGCCGCTGTCCCCTTCTTAACCGGCTCCTTGTAGGCCCAGTGCTCCGTGCTGCCCAGCCGATACAAATCCGGGATCTCGTGCTGCACATAGCTATACGCGTGATCGATCCGCTGGAGATGCTTCTGCAGCGCCTCGTACGCCGTCGTTATGACATGAATCTTCTCGTCCAGCGTCACAAGGATCTCCGAGATCTGCGTCCGCATCTGGAGACATCGCGACCGCCGCGTCTCAGCATGGCCCAGGATCGTCTTGGCCCCCGCCGTGATCTCAGCCGCCTGGGTGGCTTCAAGCTCATGCAGGAGCATGGCCTCGGCGGGCGTGGTGAGCTCGTCCCGCCGTCGCTGGAGCTCGTCGAGCTGCTTCATTGCCTCCAGCGCTGGATCAAACTCGTAGGGGTCGTCGGGGGCCGGGAGCTCCTGCGCGGCCGTGATGAGCGAGCGCAGGACGGCCTCGGGCCCGTACGCCTTCGCGTCCACCTCGCGCAGGAGCGTAAAGTGGCGGATCGTTTCGGACGGGAGAGCGTCGACGGCATCTGTGAACGCTGTGAGGGCGGGGTAGAACTTTGCCGGAGGCTGGGTGGAGGGTGTGGGGTGGCCTGCGTGTGGGTTGGTGCCGTTGGTGAGACGGCTGCCACTGCCATTAATGTTGCTGCCACTTCCGCCGCCGAGTTTGGGGTGCGCGGCGGTTTTTCGCACGGGGTTGGTGCGGGCTTGTCGCATGGGTTGACGGCGGGCACTGCTGGATGGGAGGAGGGGCGTTGAGGGGCCAGGCACGGGGGGTGGTGCTGCTTTGGATGCCATTGGTGAACTGTCTAGGGTGTGTGGCGGGCCTTGTACTGTTGCTGCTGCTAGTGATATTGCTGCTGCTGCTGCTGCTATAGTGGTGTTCTTGAAGAAGGGGGGGGGGGTAATTGTAGACCCGGGAAGGCTTTGGGGGGGAAAAGGGAAAAAAAATATTAGTAATTCATTCACAGTAATGGTGTGGGTATTTTGAAGATGCAGTGTGAGAAGAAGAAGAAAAATATGTAGAAGCAGAGACGTTAGCAGCTGGAGAGCAGAGCAGAGCAGAGGAGGGGTCCTGTCTTCAGCGTGTGAGCGAGTGAGAGTGTGTGGTGTGTGGAGTATTGAGTATTGAGCATAGAGTCTTGTGTGTGGGGGGGGGGGGATCGTAGATGGATGGACTGACTGGCTGTCTCCCGTGAGAGACCTCCCTCCGCCAGAGCCTGCGGGTTCTGGGGATGACACAATGAGCACAACCCCGTTACCCGGACGGGAGTAACAATCCCTACAGTAGTTACTTGATCTGCCCAGCGTCAATTCTGCAGAGCCGCAATCTAGCAATATTACGCATTGAGCTTGGAGCTTAAGATGGACGATACCTTTCTCTGGCGGCCCGACCAACAGGACTGACCTAGGACATCACTAACTTCTCCAGCAGCTTCGGACAAGTTTGCACTGCTCTACGCGCGTATGCCGACTGACTCCCAGGCGGACAGAGAGAGCTCAGATATAGAATGCAAGTCGATATTCTCAGTTGATCGGATGAACGGTTCTGTTACGAAGGAGGAGGAGGAATGAAAGAAAGAAAGAAAGAAAGAAAGAAAGCCTATCAGCTTATACACATGGAGATGACACGTCTAGCTCGGCTGTGGACACCGTTACGTTACTAAGACCACTTGCATTGGAGCTCCTACGTACGCAGATCAGACAGCTTGGTTCATGATCGAGTGCACTGGTTGTGCGACGCAGTGGCCATGGAGCTATAGCTAACAGTCTACTATCAGCAACCATGGCTACATAATTTATCTCAACACGTGCTATCATTAGTCCAGCTCATTAACAATCCCAATTGGATGAACTTTGAGAGAGAGGGGTTTGGGTGTTTTAAGCTTTATTAGCTCTAGGCTGTATGATGGCTGCAGCTCTAGGGTATCCAACGCCAAACCCAGCAGCAGTACCACAGCTACAAACCAGATATGCACAGACAAGTTCTTCATTATATCTAATTCTCCTCCAGCTGAACTCTCTATACCAACTTGGAGTACATCCGAATCTCTCTATAAGGATACTTACTAAAGAACAGCCGCCTTATAAAGATACCAATATCTGTTCCATGTCCTCGTCAAGCTTCGTGGACCTATACAAGCCTGCTCTTACTACAAGAGGAGCAGCTCCACTCACAAAAACGCCAAATTACCATATCTACTAGTACTAACCACAGCATATCCCAAGCTCAAGGCCACACACAAGCACATTAACATCCAGCTTACGCATACCTCAACACCCCCCACCAACCCCATCTCCACCCACCGTCCAACCCAACATACACACAAACAACCAAGACTCACCGTACCCAGTGGCATGACCGATCACCGAGAGGCTTTTACAAAATCCCGGGGTAGGTATACGTACCCTAATACTGCCCCCCGCGGCCGATCGACGTTGACGTTTCATCCAGGGCCCCCCTCCATCTCTCGCTCTTCCTTAGTATCGTTTCCCCGCTGTGACACACAGGCCCGAGGGCTGCTACAGCAGCATACGTAAGTACACCGGCCGTATACGTACATGTATGTACATGTACCACCACAGCAGCAGCAGCGATACATGTGCTTATGTATCTATGAGTCGCGAATCGCGAGTCGTGAGTCGCGATGATGAAGAGATCCAGAGGGTGTACGTTATGTTTGCTATGTCCGGTTAAACCTCCCCGGTGAACGAGGCCAACCGAATTGGGGGCACAACAAACAAGCATATGAAGTATTAACTACAAGAATATTTGCTTCAAAAAGGGCCTAGAAAAAATACAATTATTATACAAGCAACCCACATAACCTTCCCCCCCCGCGCAGCCCGCCAAACACGCACTCTCACTCGCAGTGCAACGGATGATAATCGATGAAGCAGCCCAACCAGCCCAACCAGTCAAGCTAACCCAAACCGGCAACATGCAGCCAGCCAGACACCTGCTGTGCCCGCACCCGCCAGCCAGCGTAGGTACAACGTCCGAGTGAGTTTGTATGCAGTAGAACAAACGTCTCTAGCATCTATGTACCTACAGACCTACAAATGATTTCGCTGCACACTCAAACGGATGATGGCACCACAATGACCCGCAGCATTCCAAGCTAGCTTCTAAAAATACACAATCACGACTATTAACCTCGACCTTAACCCCCATCCTTGTGCAACACTACGTGATACAGTATCACTCTAGAGTAGCAGCCAGCACTGCCACAACGTACCTTCTTCATATGCGCATAACCTGCAGAGTTATTTAGTTAGGGCATACAGACAATACACTCTTCAGGGGGGAAAGCTTATTCCATGCCCGTCACCACTGCAGTATTAATCCGCACCCTTGACATGCCTCACCGCCAGCCCAACCCCCAAACCACCCCCAAACCCTTAATTTCACTCATCCCTTCTACTCCGCCGTAGCCATGCATAATTGATAGCCGGCCGTTTGGGAGGAGGGGGGTAATATGAAACCTGTCCTCCTCCCACTACATCATCCCATCTCTTCCCACCACCTCCAATACATCAATCATATCTCCATACTCAAATTAAACCACAACCATGGCGACAGAAACCTTACAATCCGTCGAAGACCTCAAGCTGCCCACAACCTTCCACAACAACCTCACCATCCACTCGCGCTCCGGCACACACGAGCAGCTGTGGGCCCGCGTAAAAATGATCGGCGCCGGCGCCTTCGGCGACGTCTGGCTCGAGCAGAAGGTGCGCGCCGACCACACACCGGAGTTGTTGGGGGAGGCGGGCGCGGAGGCGGAGGTGGAGGTGGAGCGGGTGCCCGATGTGGACCTGCGGGCGGTCAAGCGGATACGCTATACCGGCCAGAACCTGGACTGGTCCAGGGAGCTGAAGATCTTGGCGCAGTTGAAGAACGTGAGAGTCCATATGCTGCTGTGTTTAATTGTGTTTGGGGGTTCGGCCGAGAAAGAGGGAGAGGGAGCTAAAGGGAGATATTGTTAGAACCCGTCATTTGTAGACTTTCGAGGATGGTATGACGATAGGAGTAACTATGTCTACTTCGCAATGGAATACATGCGCCATGGCGACCTCAGCCAATATCTCAAAAAAGCCGGCCCCTCCGCTAGGCCACAAGCAAAAGCCATTGTCTCCCAAGTACTAAAAGGCCTCATAGCCCTCCACGACCAAAACATCTGCCACCGGGACATTAAATCCAAGGTCTCTCCCTTCCCCCTCCCCCGACAAACCAGCCATACTAACTACTCCCATAGAACATCCTAGTAGCTTATACCAACCCCATTACCGTCAAAATCGCCAACTTTGGCCTCTCTAAACACGACCACAATGCCACCTCCCTCCGCACCGCCTGCGGCACCTCCCATTACATCGCCCCTGAGCTGCAGGGCTTCATACGCCCGTCACGCAACCGGCGCACCTACACCAATCTCGTCGACATCTGGTCGCTCGGTATCCTGACACATGAAATCCTCACCACACAGCTTCCCTTTCTCCAGTGCGCCTCTCCCGACTCCGACTCTGATTCAGACTCGGAGGACGAAGACCCCGAGTCAGGGATCGAGATGGACTCCCGCTTCGAGAACCAGGAGGAGACGGTGGAGTATCCAGAGATGGATATGGCGCTATTTGCAAACTACTGCAGCGGCAAATCCTCTTTCCCCCGAGGGCCGCTAGAGACGGCAGGGATCAGTAGTGCGGGGATCGCGTTTGTGGAGGCCGTGCTAGTTGCGAATCCACGGTCACGGATCTCTGCGGAGAAGGCTTTGGGGCATGAGTGGTTGCATGATCCGAGGCTGGAGCCGTATGGAGTCGCCAGAGATGAAACGGCGGTGGCGGAGGTGTCGGATTCAGAGGGTAGTGATGTAGTCCGAGAGGAGGAAGAGGGGGAAGAGAGAGATGGGAGGGAGATGGAGGTGGTGCTGCATAGGGGGAGTGAGATGTTTAGAAAGAGGTATGCGGCGAGGGAGAGGTTTAACAAGTTTGGGGTTAATCGGACGGGGGTTATGCAGCAGAGGTATGCGAGAGAGAGGAGATTTGTGGATATGTAGAATGCTGGCTACTAACACGTCGTTGGGTTGGAGTGTGTGTTAATGGGTTTTGATTATTGTAGATATTCGGGGACTTTAAAAGTAATAATTATATGTAGGTAGGTCTGGTGTATATAAAAAGTTTGTTTAGTTAACTTCCCACAAATTTAAAGAGGGGAACTTTGATGATATTAATGATATATCGCTTCATTGGGCGTTTTGGTGTTCAGTATAGATTAATTTCGGGTCCTACATACGTGAATCACGGGGGAGAAGCTCACGCTCAGTCCATGAAAGTAAAGCCAGCTCGAATGATAGCATTGTGCCGACGGATTGAGGGGAAAGAGGGGGAGGGGGAGGAAGAAGATCTAGAAGAAGAAGAAGAAAGAAGAAAGCAAGAAAGAAATCAAGACACAGAAGAAATAGCGGAATACACGAGCCAGTCAATGAGGATACAATACTCGCTGTGACCTGTCCTTTGACCCAATGACCATTTGACCTCTCAATTCAAGTAGTGTGTAATCAACTACACTATAAAGGAACATATGGTCTAAAAGAGTTTCGGAAGAGGGAGACCCAAGTCATGAGCGAGCTGATAATCAAGCTGCCATTAATAAATTTTGAAAAGAAATTTACAAAAAGTGATGGTGTGGCTATATACCTCCACGGGGCTATGGGCCCTACTAGCAGCTCCACTTCTCGTTACCAATATAGAGCCACAGCATCTCACTCCCCCATGGCCTACTGATGGCCATGGGGACTCAACCCACTCGGTGTTCCTCTATGACGAGGCGTCTACCCTTAGACCACACTCGCCCACACAACTGTCAGAGTGCGGGAAGTAATACTTAAGGGAGTGAAAACAGAGCGGGCTAGGGGGACACCTAACCCTAAAATCACACGCTACCACGAACCCACTAGGCACCCTCTTGTACACAATGTCATGTCATGCCACCATACGCACAGCTTTATCCGCACACGCCATGTGTTACCGGCGGTTTCTGGCTATAATCATGTAGCTTGGCAATATTTAATCCACATTTTGGCACAATGTAGCCCGATCATGACATATCACTCATGGGTGAAACCAACTTCGCGAGCCACGAAAACCGCGCAGCCAGAAATAATTCAACATATTTACGACAAACAACTACATTCAATTTTTCTCACTACATCTCAATCTCTACAAACACTTTCTCTCTACTATTCTCTCTCTTCTCCTTTCTTAGCTCTCTTCACTGATCACTCGGCCACCCTAGATAGCAGTGCTACTACACTTCACCGTGGTCGTTCCCAACGGCGGGCACGTCAAACAAGTCGTAACTACCTGGTAGCTCGTACAGCTGGCCACAGGACAACTAGTTGTCGAGCATCCCACCGTCTCCGTAGCGATCGTCTGCGAGCAGGTTCTATCAATCACACAATCATCGACGGTCTTCGTGACCACACATGGGTCCGGGCAGGGGTTCGTCGTAGTGCTTGGGCAGGGCACCTTCGTTGTCACCGTGAGCGTAGTGGTGTTGCTGACCGTGACGGGGGGCAGTGTGTATGTGGTGTAGTTGGTGACGGGCGGGAGGGTCAGGGTGGTTGTGTTTGTGACAGTTGTGGCCGGGATGATGACGGTGGTGGTGTTGGTGACGGTGCTGGCGGGGAGGGTCACGTAGATGGTGGCAGTCTTGTAGATGACGCTGGTGATGTTGGTGCAGGTGGAGGTTGGGGTGGCGATGGTGGTGCTGGTGCTGGTGGGCTTGACGGTAATGAGGGTGATGAGGGTTGCGAGGGAGGGGTTGAGAGTGGCGAGACTGAGGGAGACTCTTTGCGGGTCGGGGTTGGCCTCAGGCTCTGCTTCGGCATGCACGATGCTGGTGGGTTATATGTGTTAACTGGCTAACTCACTAGCTAATTCACTGACTTTATAGACAGCTAACTGATGAAAGAGTAGAAGTCATACCTGCAGAGAAGCGCAAAAACACCAGAAATAACAGAGAGCTTCATGATTGCAATAATTGATATACTGAAAGATCGATGAGTCTCGAGATTTGTAGCTTGTCGATGTGATAGTTCCTTCTTCCAAGAGGAGATATCACGAAGCCTTTATAGTCCTCCTCGAGGCCTTCTCCACCCCGAGTACTACACTACAAATTCGAATTAACCAGTACGTACAGTCTCCACTAACTACACACTCAGTACTGTACTACTGAAAAAACCCATTCAGTAAAAAAAATATATAAATTAAATGATTACTTACCCCCACTAGACTATTGCCACAACCCTATCGTATACACCGCGCCGCACCATACCATATCAGCCCCCAGCCTCGATACCCTCAATCCAGTAAGCGATCTCGCGATCATTCCCCACCGCAACTCACTTCACGATATGCCGTGCCAGCCCGTCCGCCCCCACCAATGCCGGAGAATTCAAACACAGACAGCTACGGTACCTGAACAGTGCACTCGAACACCACACCGCACTCGATCCAACCTCTTCCATCGCATGACGGTATTACAACCGGTGCCGTCGTACAACTGGCCCCAATCGCAACCCAATATATATATTGCTACATGTAGTAACAAAGCAGAGGGGTTAGCGAGAGGTATCCAATGATAATGCTTCCCTATTTATTACCCTGTGCAACCGTCGACCTGGCTCGATTATATATACATTGATCATGATCGTACCAGTCTACCCTTCTGCAAAACCCACTACTATACTAGTTAGTCGCCGAGCTCGAGATGCAGTACATTCCCCCTCTCACCGTCGACGTTGCAATAGTATAGATGTAGAGCCATCGGCACCCCCGGGGTACCACAAGCTCCTTGGGGCTGCCAAGGGATTTCGGTAGGCGAGCCCGGACCGGAACGCTGAATTCAAGCGTATTCCAGATTCTAGACCTTCAGCTGTAGCTGCAGATGTAACATCTAGATCTAGATCTAGCTAGCTACTCTAGATATTTTGAACGGGACCATCTATGCTTGAACGGGAACATCTGTTGGCTTGTAGGACCTGAAGTCTCATTATTTTGTTGATGTGGACCTGGGTCACACAATATGCGGCGCCTACCTACTCGTTTATTAGTTCTTCAATTGTCTGGTTCTACTATCGATCATGTATCTCCATCTACTAATCTATGGAAAGGCATCCCTGTTGCCACGCTATGCCCTTAGTGGCCAATCTACAACTACCTGGTTTCCGTTTGTGGGACTTGCTTGGGCTACCGAGCCGGTACTTAGCCACAAATGGAAATTAGCTTCGCAAATATTGGAAATGACCGCAAATATTGGAAATTACCTTCGCAAATACTGTAGATGTAGGAAATTACCTTCGCAAATACTGTAGATGTAGGAAATTACTTCGCAAATACTGCAGATGTAAGAAATTACTTCGCAAATATTGCATATGTTGTGGAAATGATGGTCGAAAAAAAAGGAACTGTTCGCTCTGCATCATCCTGCAAATTGCAACATGGTGACATATGACTTGGAAAACGTACACCGGCACGAAATATTTTTCTGATATCAAGAGTACGGTACATGGCCTGTAGCTTGTAAGAAGATATATGGAATCGGGATAGGTTATTGCGTGAATTGACCAGAGTTGAATGCTAGATTGATGTCGGATGGATGATGGATGTTGGTGCTTTTCGAGTGCCCGCTGAAGAGTTGCTATGTTGCCTGAGTAATAATGAGAGCAACGGATTAAGCTCATCCAAGAAATTTGTTTTGATTCGCTACACCTATCTAGGAAAACCATTTCCCCTCAAGCGAATCGAATTAAGGTGATGCTGCGCTTTAATAGGACTCTCGTCTCGCTGGCCATCCCCTCCTTCTTCTTCACCAACCCTCCACCGCTCTCCTCATTCACGAGCTTTATATACGTATACTGACCGTGTATAAGCTGAAAATGCTAAAATGTGTTGACCCCCAGGGCGATGTGGTTATCAACACATCTTCCAAGGGGTTTTCCCTCCTCGTTTCCTCCAAAATCCTCTCCGTCGCCTCACCCGTCTTCGCCGCCATGTTCTCCCCGCACTTCCGCGAGGGCAACTCGCTAGCCACAGCTCCCGCTCCAATCACAATTGACTTATTGGAAGACGCGCCGGAGGCTCTGGAGAACATCTGCAACGTGCTACACTACAAACATGACCTCGTCACGGTGAAGATGCACTTCCATGAGCTGCTCGAAATCGCGGTCGTCGCGGATAAGTACGACCTGGCCAAGTCATTGGGACCATGGCGATATATATGGCTGAATAGAGTTGTATTACCAGAGTGTGGCTCATGTGACGGGGGAGGCTGGCAACGGGAGATATTCTTGATGTATGTGTTTGGACAGGCATCTGAATTCAAATCGTATACGTCGATGGAGATTACATGGTTGGAGCCCTGTTATGGTGATAAGGGAATGTTTGAACCGCTTCCGGATAGAATCATGGGTTTGTGGTAGACGTTACACCATTCCACCCTAATACTACTGACAAATCATATATAGCCGCAGTCAACGCCGCCCGCCTCGCCGCCATGGATAAGGTTCTCGACATCGCCGAGACCGCCCGCCTCCAGTATCAGTCTCCTGGAAGGAAGTGTAATAGGTCGCAAGGCTGCGACGCTACACTCCTAGGATCTATTATACACTGCTACTCAAAAATCGGTATATTTCCGCCGCCGCAAAGCCCGTATGAGATATTCTGCGTCGGACATTTATCAAAAAGCTTGGAGATGATCCGGGGATCGCTTACCGGGCATCAGGAATGTGTGGATTTGTGGTTCAATGAGATGATTCGTGAAGTGGCCAAAGTGATGGAACCGGAGGATGGAGTACCGGGTCTAGAGCTGAAGGCGTTCATGAAGTAATAAGGAGATGTTGTAGTTTAAAACCATATACATGGTAATATGTTTATATAGGGGGCTCTTAGTAGTCTCGTATCCAGACTTTCGTGTCACTTGTTGATCCTCGGGAGCTCCTAGTGTAAATGTTTGTACCAATACACGGCTATAATACTGCCTGGCCTACATCAAAGCAGAAGTGGTTAGAAATATCTTATACTAATCATAAAAATAGTTAGAAACCTCCATATGTACTTACGCCCACATCCAGTATTATATTGGTGCCGCATTGGACGGTGTTAGCTGCTTATATAGCCATTTGTATTCACGTTCTCGACGAATTACTGGTAGTGACAAACCGATGTGATTATGACGATGGTGGGATAGTGAACATGAGAAGTAGCCAAACCTAAACTATATATTATATATCCATTACTTAACACTGACCACCTGTAATTTTCACCCGCCTTCCGACTACATTTCCACCACATATCCCACTTGTCCTGGTATATAGGTGGCCATCTTTCTAGATGGCATGTGTCACAACATGATGATATACCTAGCTAGAAGGCTGAGGCGGGGTGTGGGGTGAGCAGACGGGGGTTCTCGAAGTCTTCGTCTCAAGCGGAGTCGACAGTTCGGCCAACTATACCTCGAGATTGCACGAGTCAAAATATTTGTCTAGAAAACGTTAACGGTATTAGTTTTTTTTTCAGTCGCATACAGCAGATACCTACGCTGTCTACAGATAGCTAGCGACTTGACCTCAAAGCGAGTACCAAACTGGGAGTGTATATAAGCTGCAAGCCGACGTATATTTTATACAGACTATACTAGCTAGAGTTGATTAATTGAGCAGTTGATATAGATAGATGTAGGGTTGAAGGATCGAGTGGGAAACAAGGGCATATCCTAGAACCCAATCACACTGGTCCAATATAATGAAATGAACTTTCAAATAGAAAGCTACAACTAATCATGGCCGCGAGCTTCCCATGAAAAGATCTAGAATCGAGGAGATCTCGAGAACTAAAGTTGCCTGTATATTGACAATGATGTACCTACCTGTAGTTAGCGACGTCCTACACATTGGCTTTATACCCTTCCCAAAGCATCTAATTTATGGGTGATAAATCCTTTCTTTGGTATTTTTGAAGTCAAAATACATCTTGGATATATATAAGAATCAATTATCAACCGTTTGGATTATTTGATTCAAGAAATTTTATACAGAGTGATAACTTATGAAGTGAGACCCGCAATTACCTTCCATCACGGTATATTTGAGTCCACACCCCACACACACCAACTCAGCCCACATCTATTTATAGCGCAGCTTTAACCTGGTAATGGAGGCCAAAATAGGCATAGCTCTGATAGTCTGCCACCCCTGTCAACGTCATTCATCCATAACCCACCTTCTCTTCTTCAATGCTGAAGGCTGATCTCGAGCACGACAAGTGGCGATATCCAGGTCTGTCGGTGCGGTGTCGCATTGCACCATTCGTTCATTTGATTGGGGGATGATGCTGTTTGAAACAATATCGCGTATTTGTGAGTTTAAATGAGGGGAGGAAGTAGAGACCAGGGTGGAAGAGTGTACGTACCGTGCTCTCTCTCTCTAGCTAGTGTACTCTAGGGTAGGGATAGGGCGGAGTGTGGAGTACCTACAACGTGCACCTTATGCAAAGAAAAAGGCACAGCAGAGAAAGCACTGCACTCTACTCTTCTACATACCAGAGAAAATCCTACATTCTACCCCCCCCCCCCCCCCCAGCAAATTAGAATCCACAAGTGACCACCCATCATTGCATACATCGTACAGGCTGCGCCTTCCTTCCTTCCTTCTTCTGGAACGTTTTGGAGATCGAGGAGACAACTCCTTACCTCACACACCCCCCCAACTTCTTCTTCATTACCGCTTACAACCGACATCGTCATTCAGTCAGCCCCCAACTACCAACCCCTCTTCCTTCAAGATTGACTGTTAAAGGTGAGGTATCTACTACATACCATCGTCAGCAGTTAGTCGTGCAAGGCCCACTACTCCTAGTCAAAGCTTAGCCAGGCGCTCGGTAACATCACTCGGACCTCAGACATCATCTTGTGTGAGCTCTGACTATTGACTCCAGAAGCTCTCTTCGTGCGCTCGAATACGTCAACTATCACCTATCCGAAGTTTCCCTGCAGTACATACCTAACAGATAATGATGCCCCGCCTACATCTACTCCGTCATCATCGTCGGTCCAGCAATGAGCAATCATCAAAATCTACACATAGCAAGCCATCCACCACCCCTCCGCCGCATACTCCCTCACCAGAAATCCTTCCTCCGCTCAACATTGGTAGCGGTTCACCTAGCCTCGGCTCACCAGACACGTGGCTCACCCCCACCACCACAACCACCACCCCAACCGCCCCCGAACCTACCCCTCTGAGCCGCACCTCGACCGAGCCCGCCCGTTCACCAAAAAAGTCACGAAAGTCTGCTGACAAGGAGCGGAAACAGCAGAATGCATCATCACCGCAAGCGCCAAAGGATAAAAGGAAGCTAACGCTCCTCAATCCTATGTCGCTTCTCTCGCGCCGGCGGAGCTCTCAGTCTACGATTGAGAAGCAGCAGAAGATGGCGCGCGACTTGCCAGATGACTTTGATCCCGGGATTATATACGGGACACGGCATCCTGATTGGTCGTCAGGTTCAAGGCGGGGTGGAATGGTTCCAGTGAATAGGCAGGAGACTGGGGGAAAGGAGTTGGTGAAGGTTGAGGTTGTTAAGGATAGGAATGGTCAAGGTTTCAAGGAACATTTTGAGGATGAGAAGGGGGTCGAGGGAGATATAATTTCGAATAAGGAGAAGGCGCAGGAGCAACAGAGGTCATTATCGGATGTAGGGCCACAGAGGGCGCCAATGACGTCGCCCCCGTCACCGCCAATGAAAGCCCCTCCACCGCCTCCAACTCCGCCAAAGGATCTTTCGCTTTCACCTCCAATTTCGGTAAAGGAAGCTGCAGTCCCAGTACCGCCAATAGTCGAGACAGCGCCAGAAGAGGAGTCTGATAATGAAGGCGAGCTTCATTCACCACCGGATGGGCGTCCAAGAGTTACTTTATTCGATCACCCCCTCTCACTCCCGCATCATTTGATCAACAATTCTTCCCGCTTCTCCTTTGAGGGTAGTAGCGCTGCAGGGGAATCAACAACACAGTCAAATGATAACCTCTCGCTCATCCCACGGACAGCTCCTGATTTTGATCCCGACGATTCAGACGCTGAAATGGATATGGATGATATAGATATGGACGGCGAGGACGATGATGGCTTTGAGCGCGCAAACGAAGGAATGTTTGGAGAAGGGGATGAATATGAGGGAAGTGATGAGGACGACGATGATGATGGCTTGGTCATGGCGTTACAGCCTATGTCTATTGGCTTTCACCCAATGTCCATTGGACTTGCCATCAACGGAGGAGATGAGTCTTCGCAGCACAGCTCCACTGCGGCACCCGAGGGAGAATACACAGAAACAGACGTAGAAGAAGAACTCCCGACAATGGACCCAAACCCAGGTGCGGTAGTTCCATACACTGGTGCTGAGGTCCCACTGCGGAAGCGTATTGCCAACCCACGAGGCTACGACCTTGATGATGACTCCGATCTCGACTATCTTGAGGACGGAGATGGAAATGGTGACAACGGAATCGCGGGATATGAAGATGAGGATGATATGTATTTTGATGACGGAATCATCATGGATCCAACCCCGCAAGACATAAGTCAGTATGTAACGGCACCTGATACTGCCCTGGCTACACCTCTCGGCGCTTCAAACCCTCTACTATCTGAAGACCAGAGGCTTTCTTTATCAACAGTTGGTGTCTCCAGCGGTGGGGCTATGATGGTTGAGGATGGTAGCATGAGCGGTACTCATGGTTCCGCCACCAACGGCGGTGGTTCCGGCACGGATAATCGTTCTTTCCCCCCCTTTATCAACCCGATTGGAGGCGGCCTTGGCTTTACCCAAGAACATGCCCAATTCTATGCGCCAGACGGCACAATGCTCGACGGAAACGGCTGCCCTCTTGCGCTTTCCACCTTGACACAGTCCCTCCATGCATACCAGAAGGAGCAACAGCGTCTTGCTGAAGAGGAAGAAGGTCTAAACGATCCTCTCAATGGCTACGAAAGTGACTACAATCCTTATTCCTACTCACGAGGCGAATCTCAGAGTGGGTATTACTCTGACGAGTACGAGGAAGACGACGAAACTATGGTCGCCGCAGCCAATGCAGAGGCACTAGCGTACGACACCGAGTTTTACGGGCAAGAATTTGGTTTCTATCCGGCGCCGCCGTCATCCGCCTCCGATACATCGGAGACAGGAGCATATGGCGGCTACTTTGGGCCGCCTGGAGGCGAGATTCTACAGCGGCCTCCATTGCTAAGAAGACCGTCGCTAACACCGATAAGTGAGCGCAGCGAAAGCTCATGGAGGAACAGTGCAGTCTTCCCTGTGGAGGGATGGAAAGGACTTGGCGCTCAGCGGCCGCTGAGTGCACTTTCTTTTGGCGGTGGTGGTGAAGAGACAGGCGGTGGAGATGGGAGTTTAGACGCTTTGATGAAAGTGAGAAGAAGTGCGTGGGGCGGGAGCAATGGGAGCCTCAAGAGCAGCCTTGCTGGGACTGGCGGGGGAAATAGTCCAGTTGCACCACCACCAGGATGGGGAGCTATGGGCGGTGCGGCAGGAAGCCCAGGTGTTAACGGAGGGGGCGTGGGTCCTGGGGTACTCCCGGGAAGCCCATTAGCAAGTCCTGGGAGCTTCATGAGCTACCCTCCAGGGTTGACCCCGCCACCGGGCTTGTCACCGCCGCCCGGTTTGGGTTATCCGTCATCACCAGGATTATCATTACCACCGGGCCTATCTCCCCCACCCGGATTATCCCCCCCACCTGGCCTGCCTCTTCCACCTGGCCTTTCGCCGCCACCTGGACTTTCGCCGCCACCTGGACTTTCGCCGCCGCCTGGGCTTTCATCGCCGCCGCCGGGTCTAGCACACCCAGGCGCGAACGCGATGCTTCCGACAAAGGGCTCGTTTGATGAGCAACAGCTGCTGATGATGCAGGGGAGGCAGATAATGCAGATGCAGATGCAGATGCAAATGCAAATGCAAAACAGCTCCCCAGCGGCCAACAACGAATTCTATCAACAGAACGGAATGCAAGTACAGACCCAAGCCCAACAACCACACCAGAAAGCTTCCACAGCAGACTCAAGCTATGCGTCCGCGGTTGGGTCCCCCGTTGACACGACAGGCCAGGATGAAGGAGAGAAGAGGGAGGAGGTAGAGCAGTGGGTTTTTAATGGTAGAAGAGTCGGGAGCAGGGGGAGTAGAGGGAGTTAGTCCTGCTAGAAAGCCTTATTAGAGGGACTGAGCCCCCCTTTCTTTTTTTTTCCTTTCTGGCTGTGCTGGCAGGCCGGCCAGCAATCAATTCATTTCTTCATATTGGTATTAGCATTCTGGGGCTTTTTTTTCTCTCTTCTTTTTTTCTCTTTCCTCTTGTCTTTTTCGTAAGGGTTATTTAATTTTAAAAATCCGGGGTTGGGGGGCTTTTTGTGCTTTGTTATTTCTGGGACGAGGGGGGGACAGATGGTGGATTCTTGCGTGTAAAAAAGGTACATACATCATTATAGTAGTCTGCAAGATTCTTGAACATGTAACCTCCATCTTCCAGTGGTGACGGTGTTTATTCTATGAGTGCAGATGTAGTGAAGCTAGTAATCAATCAACCAATACGTGTACGGATACAGGCACACGATATCACTCGCCTTGGCTGTGGCCATTTTCGGTTTAGCGTACATGTCACCGCAACTAGCTGTGGTCATAACCTCAAGAGCGGTACTCGGCCTTGGCCATCATCTCAAGGAGAAAAATAATATTACTTGCCAGAGTACCATAAAGCCAGCTGGAGGCGAGGTTCAAGAGGTGGCATGACGAGTGAGCGTTCTGGCCCGCAAGATCTCGAGGTTATATGAGGATATCTGAACGTGAATTGATCGGAACCCAAGATAACAGTGAGAGAGTTGTATATATCACAGAGATGCGAAACCTCCATGGCTTTATAGTTGTTTCTTTAGCTAGATGTTACCACCTGCTTTGACGCATTGGGACCATAGTACCCAGCTTGGTTTAGCATGTTAAATACTCGTATCATGAAGTTCACATCTAGATTTTCACGAGTGATAACCCATGATCAAATTGTCATCGGTACCTATCAAGAGTGAATATTTGTAACTTTGAATGTGACATAGGTGATGTTACTATTTACCAGTAATAGTCTGTAAGTGTTTGTGGATGGGTATGTACTTGTAATTCTCGCGTTACGGTTTCGATCAGGAGTAAACCTTCGATTGAGGAGCAAAGATGTTATGTGACCTGCCATAATACCACACCAATCACCAACCCATTTACCTCTTTAAAGAAGGACGGTAGATATTCTAGTGTTCTAAGCGTAAAAGAATCGTCCTATCGTGGTAACTCAACTCACAGATCTAAATAATCTTTTTTTCATGTGCTATTTTGATAACCAAATTAACGATATTTACTTCCGAGAATAAAGGTCCCTGTACATGATACGTAAAGAAATAAACTTTTATAATTTAACTATAAACAAATCCCAAGAAGCGAAAACTCATCTACCCAGATCCTGTTGTACTAAGCTCCTGCTCCTTCACCCGTTCGAAAAGCAGACTCCGAACGACCCAACTGCCATAAAGCATAACAATCACGAGGCCAACCGCCATATCAGACCCATGTGCGCCACCAAAGAAAAGTCCTAGACCCAAAACACCGAGAATCCAAAAAAGTGATTCAGAAAAGAAATATCGAAAAATACTGATCGCTAAAATCGAGCCAAAAACACTACCCGCTAACTGGGCTCCATGTGTATCGCCAAAGAAAAGGCCTACCCCAAAGAGAAGAAGTATCAATGCATGAACATTGCTGACACCTGATTCCTTTCCTAACACCACTTGTATATCTGTGTAGCCGTTCTCGATTGCCACCTTTAGTGGCTCCTTTCCCATTGAGTTTTTTTCCTTTGTGTTGGCACCGTTTTGAATTAGCAGTTCTACAATGGGTTTATCGCCATTTGCTACTGCGAGGTGAAGTGCCGTGGATCCATCTCCGTCTTTTGCCATGATATTTGCTCCACTATCAAGAAGTAATCTCACAATTTGTTCGTGCCCGTTGCTGACGGCTAAGTGTAGGGCTGTTGCTCGCGATGTGGTAGCAGTCTTTGCGATGATTTCAGGGACACTCTCGAGCAAGATCTTCACTACAGATTCACATCCTAGCTGAGCAGCAACGTCGAGTGCTGTTTCGCCCTTCTCATTCTTCATCATAGGGTACGCTTTTGGCCCGTTTGCCACAAGCAGCTTTGCAATGCCTTCGTGCTGCATTTGGGCTGCCGCATGAAGTGCATTAAATCCGGCACCTTCTATTGTTACAATTTCAGCCCCATTGTCAAGGAGGAGTTCCACAATATCTTGATCTCCTTTCCGGACTGCGTTGTCGAGCGCTGTCATATGAAGGTCATTCTTGGCCATGATAGCTACTCCCCTTCCTAGGAGAAACTCCACGGTGTCCTTGTGCGCAAAGTCGGAATCAGTCGCCTGATGAAGCGCCGTACATCCGGAATTACTTTTATCCATTATATCTGCACCTTTTTCAAGAATCATCTTCACAATATTTGTATGTCCCGAGGAGGCCGCCATGTGCAATGCTGTACATCCCGAATTGTTTTTCGTTATTGATGCCCCGAACGTGAAAAGTAGTTGTATTATCGTCTCATATCCTTCTTCAGCTGCTTTGTGGAGTGCAGTGTTCCCTTGGGCATCGTTCGCCTTTGCATCCGCGCCATATTCCAATAGCAGTTTTACAACTTCCTCACTGTACCATTGCCCATTCAAATGTGCGTGATCTAACACATGATGAAGAGCTGACTTTCCAAAACAGTCCTTCTCCGCTGCACTTGCCCCACCTTTCAGAAGTAGCCTCACAATCTCCTTATTCCCCTTCTCAATCGACAAGTCAAGTGCAGTCCTCCCATCTCCATCTCTCGTATTAGTGTTCACCCCATATTCTAGAAAAAGCCTCATCATATCTTCATCACCACTTTCGGCAATCATATGTAATAGGGTGGTGTCGCCTCGCTGTTTTGCGTTGACATCAACACTATATTCTTGGAGGTGTATTCTCAGGGCGATTGCATTTCCATGTTTGATTGCACAATATGGGGTTGGGCAGTTATGGAGGGGTTGGTCTTCGTGGTCTTGAAGTTAACTCGTTAGTCAAATATCATGAAAAGATCCAGAGACAAACTTACCATCTGGCATCATTATGCCCAGGCCTATCCCTGCCGTTAACATAAATGAATCATCTGAAAGATTTGTCCATAATGTATCCGCCTCCTCCACCTCCATATCAAACGACAACCAAGGGTGACCTAGTGCCTGTTCCGCTGTCAATCTTTTCTCTGGCTGTACAACCATGAGACTAGCGATAAGTTTGATTGCAGTCGAGCTTGTACCATTATCAAGCATCCTCATTTCTGGGAAAGGGGCCTGGCCCACAACATAATTCAAGAGCTGACGTGTGTCTGTAAAGGGTGTTTCCTTGGTAATTATGGCATGAATCAGGCAACCAAGGGACCAAATATCAACAGCATTTGTGTAAGACGAGGTTTCTGAAGATATATAACCTAGAACTTCGGGCGCTGTATAGTTCGGGGTTCCGACCATCGTCCGTAAGTCTGTGCCGTTTACTTGTTTTGAAACACCAAAGTCGCCTATCTTGACGGTCATAGGAGATAATGAGACCACGAGAATGTTCTACGTTTTCTTCTTTTAGCTTTATGCAGGCTTGAACCTGAAGGCAGGCATCTAACCTGTGGCTTGAGGTCCCGATGACAAAACCCATTTTCATGCATGATCTTGAGACCTTCGAGTACCTGTATTGTGATCGTCTTTGCATGAATTTCAGTCAAGTAGTCTTTGAGAATCAGACTGTTCAAATCTCCATGTTTCATGTACTCCATAGCAAGATAGATATTTTCTTCATTCTCAAACCATCCAAATAGCTCTACGAAATATTGTGGATGCTATTATATAGGGTCTGTCAGCATAGCACGATATAAGATGCACCGATGGGCCCACCGTTTTCAGTCTTGTTAAAGCCAGTAACTCTTCCTTATTGAACGTTTCCGTCTTGGCTATTTGCTTTACCGCCCTGAGTGCACCTCTTTCATTCTTTTCCAGCCAAACAGTCCCAAACCCCCCTCTGCCAAGAATCCTTACTTTGCTCCATCTTTCTTTCCTTTGAGCCTGCGGCGCATCGGGATTGTACGAACTTTTCTCGGAAGCGAGATCTAGAATGTGCTCGCAGTAGTCGTCGCCAAACTCTGTGATAAGTCTGTATTGATCGAATTGACAGACGTTGGAAGACATTTCGTCTCGAGTATGACTTGTGGTATCGAGCAATTGACTATGTAGAAGTCATGGTCTTTGAACATGGTCTCGCAAGTTCGGCCATGCACCACCTAGATGTTGCAGCGTGTCCTTAGCTGTGCATACACACCAATACAAGTGCTCGGACAACAATTCGCTCATGGTATCCTGGGCGATCTTCGCCACAGTAGGATGGAAAAAAAATCGAAATATATAATTTCGGTATAGAAATAATCCTTGAGACATGAACATTTGGCCGCGCGCCGTTTTTTTCTTTTTTTAAACAGAGGATTGAAGGAATGCTGCGTAGACAGTCGTCATGATAGATCACTCGACACCATTTAATTGGCTAGATACTGCGCCGAAACCCCTAAAGGCATACGATAAAGGTTCCCCTCTTCTTATGTAACCTTTGGAGAGCGAGCCTGCCGGTAATAACGGTTGTTTTGCCAATAGGTTATCAGTTATCCGATCGACTGCGTTACAGGCTTTGCAGCTTGCAGCATGGGAGTGGCTTGAGCTTGTGTTTATGCGAACTTGGACTAGGCTAAATACGTTTTGACAATGGATATTTTTGCTATTTTTAAACTCTGGTAACTCTGTAGACTAAGTAAGTACTCGTATGTAATGTTAGTGTTTCCGTCCTTCAGATTGATAGGAATAGACCGTGTAGAGTATGATGAATTCCCTAGAGTAGGTACATGCACGCCTCTAGTACCAGTTCTGGCGGATACCTACAGGCATACCCATGTAGATTTGTGTTCTTCTCCCGGGTAGACTACCGGCAGTGCATCTCGCAAGGGTTTATCTCGTTACCTACAGATAAGGGAACACAATTCGAAGAGAGACAAAGAATACATAGCTAGCTAGAGATCCAGGTAATCTCGAAGACACAAGATGCGGACCGTACAAAAGTTATTTCTGTGGTGCACACAGGAGAGAGGTTAAAAAGATGGCAGCAAGTGGTGTAAACTGAGCGTGTAGGCAAGAAATTTCCATCAAGATCCATCAGGCTCCTTCATACAGAATCATGACCATTCACTGCCTTTCGTAGGTTCTATTTCTCTATTGCGGGATCATTTGAGAGAGAAATCTGACTCTGCCTAGATAACGAATGTTTTCAATGCTTCTAGCCAATCTTATTTACCTACCTCCCGGCAATTGAACTGATTCGAGAAAGAAGATTCATAGAAGACTCACATTGGCCCATCATCACGCATTGTTGCACGGTTGTGTCCTAGTAGCGGTCGGTTCCGACACAAGACAATCTCAATTCCTTCACATTGGAAGCGCCGCCGCTGCAACAGACAGTGATTTGTTTGGACGCTTTTCGATATCTCAGCTTAAATTTAAAGATTCTATTGGAAGAGACCTCCTTCTTCCATCGACAGGAGGAACGATTTTCACAAGGACTTGATCAGTCACGACCACGAGAGCCGTTGGACCCGTACTTAAGGATCAAGCTAGGTTGGAACTTGGAACAGAAGGATTTTCGGGTACACCACCCTGTCACCTGCTATATTAAGGATCCTTGGTTGTCTAGATCGGCAAAGTTCAAACGGCCAAAGAGTTACCTCTCTCTTATACAAGAAAGCCCCCAAACAAAGCCTCCTATTCATAACTTTCTTCCCCCATGCTCTATCTTCTATAACCTTTCCAGAATCGCCACGACTTGCTTGAACAACATCCACCGTATTGCCGAGACCCATCCTTGACTCTGTCCGCCTCCGCTCTTGCGTGTAGCGCTCAACTACTCCTCCCCACGATGTCCTATTCTGCTGTCCCCGCGAACTACATGAGCGACGACGACCAGCTTGAGTCGCCGACGTTTCAACCTCCGAAACTGCAGCTCCGAAACTTCGATTTCGGAAGCCTGTCTTCTGCTTTAGGTACGAGTGAAGTCAAGGGCGGTAGATCGCGATCTGGGTCTAAGGTGAAATCGAGCATACATTCTGGAACGTCCTATGATATGGTCGACTCCGACACCGAATCCAATTATGACGAGGATGAGAATGATGGAAATGGTAAAGGAAAGGGGAAAGGAGGTATGGAAAACATCCTGAATAAAAAGGCCAAAGAACACGACGAGATCTCCGGTTCTGGCATTCTTGTCTCTAAACCCTACTCACCATACCGCAACAATGCAGAATCGATGCAAGGGGGGAATCTAAACAGCCACGGGAAACAGCAGCAAGTACACGACTCCATGGCACATGGCGGCGCGGGCAATATGCACTCAGAGATAACGAAAGACCCATCTCGGCTCGGGCTACAATTGGACGGCCGTGCTGACAGCAACGAAAGGGGTGTCTCAGCCCAAACTTCAGCTGTACCACCACGGCTCGAGTATGAAGAAGCCGACAACTATGATGATCAACCACGTAGCCCGAGAAGAAGTAGAGGCAGTTCTCCATCTATACACACCCCCTTACCTCCGCCTCCAGAGCTCTCAGACCACCAGGAGTATAGTGGCTCCTCGGAAGATATACATCCAGTTTTTAGGCATTCACAATCGGTTCCTGAACTCCCTCCTGTTGACGTACAGGGGCTGCATATTCACGACGATCGGGATTACCGGCCAGCTACATCTGCATCTGGTGTGGGGGATCTGTTCAAGGATTTTGACGGCGTGCATTTTGACCTTGATAACCCCGAAGCTCCTGGATTCCCGCTTCGAAACCAACAAGGCTATCTCCCACCTTCGCCGGCGCCGACCCATCAGCAGTACCGTCAAAGCCAAGCTTATCCAGACCACCGTCAAAGCCAAGCATATCCTGATCATCGCCAAAGCCAGGTCTATCCAGACCCAGGCCTAGTTTATTATCCAGCTCCTGTTCCTGCGATGCTAAACCTCCCACCGACATTGTCCAAAGCTCGACCAAACAACCGAAATAGCAGATTTATGTCCACCGAGTCCCTCGGACAAGCTACAAATAATAACCGGCTCTCAGTCGCGCATCCGGGATCCTCAGAAAAAGACCTCCATAGGCGTTCAGTTGCGGCAATGAATGACCCTGCTCTCAACAATCGTCGTTCACTCGCTAATCTCCCACCTGCTCTCCGTGCATCCCAATTCTTCGATTCTCAGCTCCCGCCAATAGTTCCGGACCTTAAGGAGGAGTCCGCAGTCGCGACACTTGACAGTATCCTTGATGCATCAGCTCGTGCTCCCGCAGCCGCATTCACGGACCACCCAATCACCGGTGGTGTTCCATCATACGCACATAACCGCAACCGCTCCACTGCTACCAATCTAGGAAATTACCGGAATAGTGTTGCCATTAATGTTAAGTTACATCCTGGCGAATCCCCTCGCTCATCACTAGAAGGTGCCGACAACCCGGACCACCACAATCACAACCCAGGATACGACGATGACGATGCTGGCTCTCACTTGAATCCTGAAACCGGCGAATACTACGATCAACAGCGCTTCTCTGGTACTTCCGAAGAACTCGCAGCAGCAAATTTGGATCCCTCGCTCCAACCTCATCCCACTACCCTTCTTGCAGAGCTTGAATCCCGAAAAGCTCAACAAAGGCTCCGGAACCGTACAGCTGCTTCTGCATTTCCTCGGGGAATTCGAAGTACTCTCCTGCAGCTTGATGCTGTTACGCAAGTGCAACAAAAACACAGACGTACCAAAAAGACTCATTTGGCATGGGAGGAGGAAGGTGGGGAAGATGAAGATGAAAAAGATGAGGATGTACCTCTCGGCGTACTATTTCAAGTTTCCCCTGGCGTTCAGAAACGCCGCGATGATGAGATACCATTAGGACTTTTGATGAAAAAAGAGATGGAAGATGCAGAACCACTAAGCAAGCGTCGTGACAGGCTACGCATGGTAAATGGGCAACCAATAGCCCAGTCACATTCCCATCGTATGCTTGACGTGCCAGGTCTTGGTGGCTCTAGCGGTGGTGCTGAGGAGGAAGAAGTAGAAGGCGAGACATTGAGAGAAAGAATGAAGAGATTGAAAGAGAAGCAACAATTTGGGACTGGTGCTCTTGATATGAATTTCGGAAGCGACAAAGGGGGTGATCAACAAACAGATAAGCCAGAAGTTGAAGAAACTCTCGCAGAGCGCCGGCGTCGTCTTCAGAAAGAAAAGCAGGATGAAGACAAACACCAAGCCCTCCGACGCGAATCAGTAATGCTTCAACAAGAAGTGAAATCCCGCCGTAACATGGCTGATCTTCTCCACGCAAAACCAATGGGCATGGCTGGCACTCGGCCTCAATCTTTCTATGGTTTGCAAGGTGGTGGTGGTTCTAATGGTAGCTTTGGGCAGCTACCTATTCAACCAGGATTTACTCAAGGGGGAATGGTTGGAATGAATATGGGTATGGGAGGCTACGGCATGGGAGGGCCCGGTTTGATAGGTCGGGGTGCCGGCGCAATGGGGGGCATGGGGGTGGGTCCCGCAGGAATGGGGATGATGGGCCCAGTGGGCGAGATTATATTAGACCCTAAGCAGAGAGAAGTAGTGGAAAGATGGCGAGCGAGTGTTATGTAGAATTCCCTTCTTATAATATCTTAGCTTATTGGGTCACTATTGGTTTTATCTTATTCGTTAACAATTCTTCTTTATTCTTATTATTAGTGTGCATGTCATTCATTTTTGAGTTTCTTTCCTGTGTCAGATATTTTACCTATGTAACTGGGTTTCCTTTGTCTTTGTAAAAGTAGCATCATAGCGTTGGGGTTTGGGTAACTTCAAAATAGTATAGCATAGCAATATTAGATCTCGTTTTTATTTGTAAAACTTTCCTTTTTTGGTTGCAGACATGTCAACTTTGGGGCAACAATAGATTTCAGGCAACCAGGTTATTGCGTATCGATCTGAGTGCTAAGGTCTTGACTGACAAAAATCCTTGTTTGGCGTAACTGCATGTATGTAAGGATGGCGGCCTGAAAGCTTGCGCCAAGCATATCTGGCTTCTATTTAAACATTTGTGTTGTAGATCAGAATAAGTACATGTATTTACATATTTACAGCTCGAACTACATGTATTTAATCTAAATTTTTAACATACATTCACCTATCGGTTCAGGTACGTCCCGCTATACGCTGTGTGACTTGTAAGCGTTATGAATATCGATAATATACATGTTACATTATACGCGTAGCAGGGCTGAAGGTATGTGGAATATTCATGTAGCCCTGAATGTCTGAATGTAGATATTCCTATGTAAAAATCTTGTTATGAAGTTATATGGGTACATACATGTACATTGTCCTTAGCCGAATGATATTCTATGACGCATCTCAACTGCGTATACTAACAGGTGCCCCGGTTACATGCAGTTGTGTGGATTTATTACCCGGGCCTAGCTGTGTGGACCACTCTTCTCGACACCACCACCAGACTCCGTCTCTACCCATCATCGTCACCTACTTCATCAAGTTTGATACCACATCATGGAATATCCTACACACCCTCCAGATCCAGTTGGTCCTTCATTTACTGATAAAAACCTTACGTTTATCATTAAAAGTGAAAAGGCCGTGCGCCATTTCTACTGTTCTTCAAGAAAGCTCTCAATGGCCTCCTCTATTTTTGCTCCCCTTTTCCCTGACGAAGCCTCTCATAAGAAGCAGTACCAAATTTCCCTTGATGACAATAACCCATTTATAATGCAAACATTGCTCGAGCTTTGTCACTTTGAGAGGATAACCCCGATGCATCCACCTACCCTTAAGGATGCCAGCCTATTTTCTGCATCATCACGAAGATATGGTCTCGTGAATATGATGGCACCCTGGGTGATGACTTGGACATCATCACTTTACGATAATGATAAACTTAACTTCAGCAAGGGGGATGATTTAATTGCGTGGCTCAACATCTGTCTCACCTTCGGCCAGGAGGAGATGTTTAGAAAGATCACTAGACGGGCTATCATTACGGCTACGGCAGAATCACTTGACTTGGCTGTGCCCATCGAGGGCCCATTCAAAGAAATTATTGGTTAGTCCAATTATCAACTCTTATAAACTTGATCTTGTTTAAACAACAGACCAGTTCAGGTATTTGAAGGCGTACACTTGAAGCTAATCGATGATATCATCAGAAACTATTGCCCGCCGTCGTATCACTGTTATTACTGAGCTTATTACAGTCGCCCTCGCATTACTCGCTCGATACCAAACAGCTGAGGGTATATGTAGTGAGAGAGGAAGAGAGGGAATCTGTCATGCGATGCTCATGGATTCAATTCTCGAGGGGCCAATGAGCTTTGGTTTGTATCAGCCAGTTCCAATTTCGCCGTATCCCGGAATGAGCGCAATGGATATTATCGGCGAGATAAAAGATCTACAATTACGAACAGATCCAAGCCACAGTGGGACTTGCGGTAGGGAAATTAAGATTGAAACTATCGAAAAGCTAAGGATTGCGATTGGAATTCTCGAACTTGTTAAAGGCTTGGATATTTCAAGGTATGACTTACAGGCGGAAAAAGCAGAAGAGTTTTTACTCCAAGTTGTGGAAGATCGGGCGGTTCAAACTTATGATAAATACCCAGAGAATGGTGGGGATGGAGAAGCCGAGAATAAAGAAAATAGAGGGGGCAGAAATGAGGAACCAATCCAAGGACCGAAAGAAGAAGTAGACGAAGAGAGAAACAAGGATATAACGTTTAGCGATAAAGACGGTGACTATGAGAAGGACGAGACTAGTTCTGAGCTCTCTACTCGTATCAACCACGATCTGGACTCTCTTTCCGAGACCAGTGATATTCAAGTTCCTGCTGGAGTCATTGACGGCTTTTCGGAAACCAAAGAAACAATCGAAGACTTCGGACCCCAGGTCTTTTTTAGAGATGGAGATGCTAGAAAAAAGAGGCATGATATTGAAAAGGATGGGGGCGGGGAGCAAAAACAAGAAGGAGAAGATCTGAAAGATAATGACTCTCTAACGGAGGATAAAGACACAACTACTCTAGTCTACATGCAAAAAGTGATTCCGGGCCATTCAAATATCACCATGAATAATGAACTTACACATGTAAACGAGACGTACACTTCACAAGCGACCAACGGAATTGAAAGCGCGCCCAATCCAGAACTCGTGGAGAATACGTCTCCCAAAATTGCACCCCTCAGGCACGCCGTGGCAAGAGCCAACGCCGAAGCACACGGACAAACATGGTCAACCCCTGGCTCCGAACTAGCGAGAAAATATCAGAGGGGACCACGAAACCCTTTCCCTGATGGAATAACAGTGGGTGATGTATCCCATGAAGGCCACATAGCCAATCTTAAGGTCTTAAAGAGTCGGTTTCCTACGTTGGACGTTAAATACCTCACCACGTCCCTCAAGCAGAAAAACTGGGACTTGCAATTGGCAACAGAGTTTCTTTCTGCCACCGAAATCGCAGTCACGGATAAAAACGACATCGATACTCATGACAGAACTGTTTCTGTGATAGATAGGTTAGCCATGGAGCCTACGTCCGATATTATCCATAAGGAGCCAGGTGAATATTTAGGAGCACTTGAGAAGATTCCTACCGAGGCTCCCGCAACTGAAGAAATACCTCAATTAGCTATCCAAGAATCTGCTCCCATTTTTTACGAGAAATCTGATCAAAACTCGATTACATCCCGAGAAGCGCCTTTGGAAAATTCTGACATCCATCAAGTTCCGCCACCAGCTACCTTGGGGCCTGTCTTAAACATACAACCACCAATACCCCGAAAAGCACCGCTAAACGACTCTACTAGTATCCAGAGTGTTGTCCTTCGACCAGCTACTCCTGAATCTGTCTTTGAAAAAAGCACATTTATACCACAGGAAAAGGCCCCGGAAGGTTCTATCATAACAGAGAATCTTTTACCACCTACAGTATCTGTCTCTGATGGGAGTACATCCGCAACACAGAAAGCAATGTCTGAATGTTCCGCCACAAAAGAAACTCTCTCACCAAGTACTATCCTCAACAAGGTCAGCATTTCACGTCTGATTGCCGGGAAGCTCAGTAAGGAGGAAGCCGAAAAACGTTTCTGGCCGCTAGAGGAGGATATGGAGATTAGGGAATACTTGGCGATCAGTGCGAATAGAAAGACAGTGAAGAAGCTAGTGCATCGGTTCCCCGAGTCGACTGCCGACAAGGGTCTTATCGATGTGCTCTACCGCTCAGGTTGGGATCTTGCAAAGGCTACTAGCATGTTGGAAGGCCTTGGGTTAGTTCGACGCGCAATTTCAAGTTAGCAATATAAATTTGTAGGAACTGGGAAACTTGAGGTATGTCAGTATTCTAAGATACTTACGAATAAATCCGATCATCGATCCTGTCTGCACTTAGATTCCAGTCTTTGCAATGGCTATTTTAATTTTTAGTGTCAATGATTGCAAATCAGGAATTTTGAAATCAAAAGGCAGAGCACATAAGTAGGGTAATATTGGCGAGTATATAACTTGGCACCGTTAAATCTAACCACCCCTTTAATTACCCAATGCTGGGTGAGGCCATTCATATCGTAAATCCCAGTATCGTACCAACCGTTAGTTCATTATTTGACTGGCTTTATACTAGTATCATTTCGAATGTGGATATCTAGCTAGGATTTTATTCCTCTAGATATATCTGTTACTCCATATATGGGCATTGCATATTGGGACGTTCTATTTTGGAGATAAGGCTTGGTTAAACGTAGTTTGTTCATGTCTGAAATATCTAATAAGCTATGGCTATATTCCTTTTTAATTTTACTCAAGCACCTCTAAACCTGTATAAACTCAGCTTTATATCACACCCTTTACCATATATCTTGCTCGCCATAATTACTTGTGTTAGGCACCATGAACCCCCGGCCCCCCCTGTTATCTACCTCCACCATCTTAAGATTTCCCCTTCTCAACGTCGCCACCCTATCGAGGTGTCCGGCCCCGACGTAAGCCTAAACTTCAACCTCAACTCGGGCGGCTGGCGCAGCGGCGTCTATCCACCCCGTCGATTTTTTACACGTGCAGCGGCGCGGCAACTGTTACAATCGTAAAGTGGTTTCGGCAGCGGGAATAAGCTGTGCCCGAGGGAAACACTTGAATTGCGGCGATGCACGTGAACATTTAGCCCCGCCTGATCATGAAGGTCGCTTACATGAAGAGTAGAGTTAATGGATAAGCTGCTCGTGCTGGGACCAGCACTAATTCACTAACTATCGTCAGAGATTTTAGGTACTTGGCAGTGAGCTGAGGAACTTGTGCAGTGGGGTGTTTGCGCATGCACTTATTACATAGTATCATCCCTGTTCCAAATCAAAGGAATGTGAAAATCCATGCAGCCAAGTAATCAGTACCCCAGAGACATAAATGAAGACTGAGAAATACTTCGGGATTGAAGCTTTCACACCGCGGATTGCTGATAAAGCGACACGTCAACTGCAGAGGCAGGTAGAGTAGATGCAGGAGCTTCACTCTGAGAATGAAGAGTTAGGTGCAAATGAGTGTAAACATAAGAACTTATCAGACTAGGCAGAGGAGCTGTAGTCACACGCGATCTTTTGTATCCCCTTATCCTTATCGAGCAAGCATGTAACAAACCTTCTATGGTTGATACCACTCAGGTGGACCAACAAACCCGACTCCGTGAAAGTCTTGGTAACAGCCCACTATTACTGATCAACCACAGCAGTTATCTTGGAATCTGAATTTAAAGCTTTGTCTTGGGTGCGGCACAGCCTGCAGCAGATATGTAGGATAAGCGGGCTTGCATAAAAGGACTGTGAATCATCGATCGAGAAAGCCAAACCTCTTTCTCCCCCCTTCGCCGTTTAAAACGAAGCAGTTTTCCTTAATCACTAAGAGGAGAAAGAAGCATTCCTACCTCTAACAAACCAATCATAATGTCGTCGCTTTCGAGTCTACCAAACGAAGTTCTCCTCCTAGTTGCGGAGCGTCTCGGCCCTAAGGATGTCAATTCGTTTCTTCAAACAAACCGGCGGTTCGCAGTTCTTTTCACTCAATGCCTGCATAAGCTTGCCCTTCAGGATGTAGATGATTTCACAGCGCTCCAATGGGCTGCGTGGAGTGGGCATAAGTCCCTTGCGAGATTGGTGCTTGCGAAAGGCGCAGATATCAACTACCTTCCACCTGCCGAGGAGGAAGATAAAACCTGCAAGACGGCTCTTCATCTTGCGTGCGAAAATGGAGATGAAGAAATGGCTCAGCTCCTCTTAACGCACGGAGCCAACATCTCAACCCAGATCCCACCACGGGGGACGATGTCGGGGACCACGGCGCTTCACATGGCCGTTAAGAGTGGTTCCGAGAATGTCGTTGCTACTATGCTTTCACACGGGGCGAACCCATCTGTGACGGATATCAATGGGAATTCACCGCTTATCTGGGCAATCGGGAGTGCTCATGAGAATATAGGGATAGCGAGGCTATTGCTGGAGGGCGGGGCGGATCTCTCCCTTACGCCAAAGGGAACAACACCTCTCCATTGGGCGGCGAGATTGGGGCATGATGGTATGGTGAGGATGTTGCTGGCGCACGGGGCAGATTCTGGGATTCAAGATGCGACGGGGTTGACAGCCCGCGGGCGGGTTATTGCGGACCCCGATGTTTCCGATGATGAGACGATCGAAGGGCGAAAGAGGGCCATCAGAATTCTAATTGAGGATGAAAGGAGATCCGCAATGTGTAAAGTTGCGCCAGAGGAGATTTTGAGGCCCATTATTCAATTCATGCACATATGATGAGGACTGCGGTAGGCGGGTCCCTAGTTATTGTTTATTTTCGTCGCTATCATTTTGCTGTTAGTTCTTTTTTACTTAACGGAATCAATCCCGGGTATCTTTTTCTATTCCATTGGCATGGTATTCTTCTATTCCTTCGAATTGTCTTATACCCACATCGATGTGTAGGGGTTTGGCGTTTCATGGCTATTGCATTGGGGTGCGAGTTTGGTTTCTATTTTTTTTGGAACTATTAGTTTTATATCAACATGTTACCTCTTCCTATTGTTCCACCCGCATGAGAGGTCTTGAAACCTTGTCTGCTATCTAAGCCGAGGGTGATGGTAAGAACTTAGAATGGTAGTTTGGATCCTAGTGATAATAAGCTCGGTAGCGAACATTACTAGTGTTGGCCGATCTGGCGGGGAGAAACCCACGTATAGATACCTGGGTCGATGGATCAACTTTTCAGCGTTCCAGCGTGTCGGTAACTAATACCAAAAATTAGTCCTGGTATCTGGTATTTGCTAGAGTGTTTAATGGAGTCAGCCATGGTTGCAACACCCAAGGAAACAGAAGATGGGGGGCTGTGTTAAGGTATTGTTCCAGACTTGTGTTCGTACATGAATCCCTGTAAAAACACTCACCGGCCAAAAGTCAGAAGGGCTATCTTCATTAGGCAGTCTCTATAATAAACAAATATGGAAAGACAGTAAACTTACGTACAAAAAAGGGAAGACCAACTGCATACAGTACCGGTACTGTATTCATGTATGTGTGTATGTAGATGGTCCTAAAATGCAGTTAGAAATTGATCCTTTGAGCATTTCTGTTTTGATGGATCGGTCAAGTCTCTAGAATCAATTTCAGATTTAACACTCTAGTACATCGGTTTTTCTTTTTTTTGTCTCGATGTTGTCGGAGATATCCCTTAGCGTCCTACCTGCATCACAATTTATCACCCATCGGCTTTAATTTTAGCCGCGCCTCAAGTCACATGATTGGCTTGTCGCGTGTGTTGCGGCTGAAATGCCTTTGCGCGGTTTAGGAAATACGCGCGGGGTCAACTATACGCGCCTCACTGTTACTTTTAAAGCCATCTATCGGAGCATATGTGAAATCATTTTTATCTGGAAAGCCATTGCTACTTGCTTGCCAACACTTTTTTCAGTCATCGGGATTATAATATGTGTGTCTTGTTGTACTTACCCACAAGGTTGGCCGGCAAAAGTATGGTGAAGCAAGAAGATGAGCTGTCAAGCTCCACTCCAGGGATGGCTTAAGAATTGGTTCATGTGCGGCCCCAATATAATTGCATCTCTGTAGAAGCTCTTCCATGAGCGTTTGCTGTGCCGCGGAAGCCGAGAGGCACTTGGTACATGCGGTATATCGAATAGTCATTTCCTCTGGCCCCCCCCCCCACAATGAGACGAGTGAGATTTAAAAGGTTTTACATAAAACATTCAGTACCCAAGTTGAATCACATTATTCTCTGGCTATTTTCTGATATCTGGCTGGACGCGTTTGCGCCTGCGCCTAATATGACGTCGCAGGCTTGTGCCGTTCTCCTGCAGTTCAATACGCATAAGTCATAAATCACCATATCAAGGAGTGAGTGCCTATTTTCTGCCCGGTTTCTCAGTCTAGATTCATTCAAACGTCTTTCCACATACCTTTATTGAATCCTTATTACCCCGCCGCTTTCCTTCTCCACATCTCCGCAGTTGGGAGGAGAGAAATGACACTAAATCTTTGTAAATCCTTCTATCCTTCATGGAAACTATCACCTTTTGTCACAATCTCACCCCTATTCACGGGTATTAGCTCCGTATAGCCAATACTATGGTCTAGACATTCCTTGTCTCCAACAACTCCGCCTCCTCTTTCTGCAAGGAGTGGCAGATTCGATCTGTATTCTAGGAATCTCCGAGCTAAACCACCTGTTGTTATGCTAGTCTCATTTTTCAGATTTCCAAAGGGTTGCTTCCTATTCACCTCTGTTTAGGGACAGTTTTGTTTAGCATTCGATGTCTTTGACACTTCATCGCCCAGACACCGTCGAGAATGACCTTAGGAAGCATTCAGAACATACGGCCACCAGCCCTTGACCCTTGACCACCTTCCGTATTCGCGGGCTCGAGTCTTTCAATGTGGTCTCTTTACCTAGTCGCAGAAAGGCGGCCCCTTTCGCAGTTTCAGAGCAAAATAGCCAGGTGGGTAACTTTCAAACTCGCCACCTATGCAAGAGGGAGACAGAGATTCTAGGGAACTACCTCTACCACTGTCTGTCTGATAAGTCATTTCCCCTATGATAGGGAATGATTGGTCTTGTCTCAAAAGTTGAAGATTTTTCTCACCCGGTGACCGCCCCGACCGTGCTCTAGATCTGAAGACAGTATTGACAGACGCCCATCTACCTAACTCCGTCAAGCGGCGTATGCGCCTATTGAATTTCTAGAACTTTGTGAGTTATCTTGTAACCTTTTGCTAACTTTTCTTCCTACCGTTCGTCCTTCATCATTTATAACCTCTTTTCTTCCTAGTTCTGTTTCCTGTGAGATTTATGTAGAGCCAGAACTGACCACCACCAAATCTTATAAACCAGAAAGAATATTCGATCCCAACACCCTGTACTAGACAACATACGAGATATGCCCGGTATGCCCAGCCGTCTTTCCTTCTAAAATTGCGCAACTCATCGAAAATCATCCGTTTCTTGCAAACCATCCGCAATCGCCATAGCGACATCCAAACCAGTCTGTCTTGCGACAGTCTCATCCAGTTCAACTAATTATCCATCAACAATTTTTCCCTGCCATCGATGTGTCATTTCAGAGTTTATGAATACACCTTATGCGGTTGCAGATGGACAACATTGGTGTCCTCTTGTTTCCAGGGTATGTTGCCCCTGACTAGGTCTTCTTGAAGAACGCTAAAGACTGTTTAGGTGATGGAGAGCTTACATGCTACGGAAACCCGAAATACGAAAAGATTGTCGAGAGGAGTGCCTGTGGACGGGACGAATGTCCACTTAAGGGACTGTATGATAAGGTTCCGAATGCAAGCAGGGGGGGGTGAGGGTGTATTCTGACTTCTTTGTATTCGCGATCTGTAGCCTCTGATTATCTGCTATAGTTCTGTCTGTATCGTTTTTCATGTCTTACTTTAATTCAGACGAATAGCTCATTTCTCATGGATTCCCCGAGTGAGATACTATGACCAAATATTCGATTGAAGCCGGCCACCGGGCACGCAAAGCCAAAAGTACCCGCCCCCAGCGAGTCTCTGGCATGCATAATTATAGGTCTTCGAATTTATGAAACCGCTGCACCCCTGTGCTATCAGTCCCACCCAAACTCAATACCTGATCAAATACGAAATTGCACTGGTACTTTTTTTTAAAAAAAAGAATAGATATTTTCACTAGTTATCGAGAATATACTTATCAGCATATTACGAGACATGATTATATCTTTGAGTAGATCAGTTCCAATAATTTCTTGCTGGTAAAACAATACCTTTGCAATTTGTACTTGATCGTTACAATTTGGGGGCAACGCCAAGGCTCTAAATTCTTCGCAGTTGGATGATTTAGCGCGGAGAGCGGTCATGTCTTGTTGTGGCAAAATCTGAAAGGTTCCTCTAGCTATCCTGAAGATCCTGCAGGTATTGTGGCAACCACATTCCCCGGCCGGACATTTTATGTTTTACTTGAGCCTAAAGATGATCGCATAACTGTATTGTAGCACTTTAGGAAGAGGTGTGAATTGAGGGTGATTAGTTGCGGTAATTAATGCCTAAATAAGGAAGATGAAATACGATCTCTAGATCATGAAGTATCACTCGGTAGTTTGCATGTGAAAGTTCTGTAGCAGCTAGACTCGTTCCCGGTGCCAGTTATTTTGACGACGCTTGTCGAGCCAGAAAAAATATGAGGGAAGTTGTAATGAACTGTCGACCTCTCTGCTTCTGTAACGAGTATGGGAGTCTGGGAGGACTTCTCCTAAGCGCTATTTTGATGGAGGTTGCTAACTCTCAGACCTAACACAATGGGACAGTAATCGACCTGAGCTTATTTGACAGAATTGTGTTGTGAACGATATCTTTTGAGTGACGATGAGTAGCTGGTATTGCTCCCGGGTTCCAAAAGCAACCCAGGCGCGTACCGCAAGTCTATATCTAGGCAGTACTCTATCTCCAGGAGAGTCATAGGCAATGAGGTGGTATAAAGATTACATGTATGGGTTCTAGTTATCGCGAGTGATATTTTATGATTACTAAGATCGTGCCCAAGTCTAGGTCTCGCGAGTCAGCAGATGTAGACCCAAAAGACTCTAGTGTGCCCTCAACGGATATAAATTATGAATTTAGTAACAATTGTGCACTGCATTCATAATTGGGCGACAACTTTAATTAAAAGCGTATGTTTATCTCCGGCTCGCCACAAGTCCTGCTATCTACATATGAATAACAGAGTTATTTCCACTAGTAGAACTACTGGGTGAACTATTGATATCTTCAATATTCACCTCATCCACTGAGCTTACACCCATAATATCGACATTCCATTCGACACTGTCCATAAGTCTTCCATTCTCTTTCGCAATCTTTATTACCTTCTGGATAAAGTCCAGGTTTGAAACTGCAAACACCTGTGCAGCTGTGCGGCGTTTGCGCTTTTCAAGTGAACGCCAAAAGGTAAAGATGCCCACGATACCCATTGAAGGATAAAACCCATGTATATCGATTTTCACCAATTCAGAGGGTTTAATTGTTGTGGAAGGATCGGAAGCCGCCATACTTGCCGCGTCTTGAGCGTCGATGAAATCTTTCTTTCTATAACAGAAAACTTTATACTCATCATTGCATCCATCATAATCAGATGGAAATAAATCGACGAATGTAAAGAAGTAACCCTCCCATTTGTTTCTCAGATTCTCTTCGACTTTTCTGAGTTCTTTTACTTCACTCGAGCTCTGGATGCCTGAGGTTGCCAGAATGTAAGCGGCTTCCATCCACCTATTTTCTTTCCCTGTCGCCGCAAATGCAATCATTTCCTCCTTCATCCAATTATTGTCCGTGTACTGTAATTGATTATTTGACCACTCGTCCCATATACGTATCGCTGCACCACATCGGATAATCTTTCCGTTTTCATCCTTCCAGCCTGCTTCTCGGTGTTTTTTGAGTGTCTCCTTAGATCCAATAATGTTGAAGATTTCTTCTGAGTTTATATAAATCCGGACGGAAGTATATGTATAGATCCCCTCAACCCATCTCCCGTGTATCGATGCCTTTACCGCATACATAATACCTTCCACCAGAGCAAACACATCCATCGGCTTTCCCTGAAAAGTGCTCTTTCTGAACATGTTGTTGTTTGAGTTCGGCCCGAAAAAGACGCCAAAGCTGCCCTGTTCTTTCTTTATTCCCTTTTTCTTATCTATGACCTGTAATTCCGAATGTCCATATACATATATGAGCATCTCACCATCTTCATTCATCATTATATCTTGCCCTCCAGAAATAGACCATGGAATGAGGTCGAGTTCGTCTATACCACGGTACAATGGCTTCATAACTAGGCCTGGAAAAGCACGAAGGAATTCTCGACCCAATACAATCTGAATGTTGACTTCCGGATGACTAGGGAAAAGCTCTTCTACCACCCAAGTAGAGAAAATGTGAGAACGACGATCTATCTCTAAGGAGATATCGGCCACCCCTATCAAGATTTTTCCAGGTATAAACACAGCACCCAACTCCAGGTACCAACATCTTCTTTCTTTTTCAGTTATTTTTGATTCCTCATCAAATCCAAGCTCTTCGGCCACAGACTTCAAAACAAATGAATGTGATGTGGTCTCATCTATCAGGCAGCGAACATTCATGTGTTTACTTCGATTCTGCTGACACATTGCCAATTTTGACATCAAAAAACGCAAGAGCTTTTCCCTATGTGTTTCGGAAGTCTGCTCCTCAGCGAATGTATCTTGGGCAAGAGAGGATGTAGGTACGGTGACTCGTGCTGTAAAACCGTGATGCACCGTTAATTGGCTGTGGGGCTTGTTGGCAAAGTTGCTACCCAATTGAATAGACATATCCCCCCGCTTTTCGCCTGAGCAAGTTGGAAAATGAGTGAAAGGAGGCGGTTGGCTAACGTCAGTAGATGTACTTGAATCGTTAATCATCTTGGGGGCATTCCCTTTGGATCCTTTTAGTGATGGCATCTTGCTTGCAACTGATAAACTCTTTGGAACCCCGCTCCCAGAAGGAAGTCTTCTGTGTTGGGTATAATGATGTCCTTCTAAATGTCTGATCATGAGGGATGACGGTTGACCCGATGGTAGTGACAGTGGAGAGGGACTGATTTCTTTCTAATTCCACAAGAGGATACGTTGTGTATCGTGCTTTACCGCTTTACTCATATATTGTCACTCGGTATCCTAAAAGAGTTAGCCTCATTTCGGGTTTGCGTGGCCTGGTCCTCAGCAAGTATAGACCATGTACACACAGAAAACATGTACCTACAACCCCCTACAAGACCGGCCAAGATGCGCCCCAAACTCTGTGTTGGTCTTGTGCCAAGACCCCTCGAGAAATACATGTACTTAGGATTCGAGGGGGCCTTGCTCAACCCACTCTTTACATGTTCATCGCCGGCCACCCACGACGTTCGCCGCCCTTCTTGGACCATCATCTTCTCAACTAAGTCAACGATAATGCCAGCGGAAACTCAATCAGAAATACTAAACAAATCATCGGCCATTCGTCATTTACTAATCTCCAACCTCAATAAGATACAGGCTACTAATACACCAACAGTAATACAAGACTACATATGCTCACTGCGTATCTCACATAGCAACAGATTCTACACACTCGTGGTCATGCATATGCGGCTAGTTGTGAATAAACAAAATCAAGATATCCTACACAACCGCAGCTATGGCTAGCAGTGAATAAACAGAACATAAGAGTAGATCACAAAGTCACTATTTTGCGGAGATTGGCACACGGGCCCGCTCACCCGCTGTAAGAAAACCGCAAATCGCTATTAATTCCTCGCGGGTCGGTAGCTTTCCTTTATCATGAAGCCCCTGGAAAATCTGGAGGAGCTTCTGCCGGCAAGGCATTCCGAGCGCATTAATACGTGCTCCAGAGGCTAGACCCCAGGGCTTCGTGAGCCCTAGGACATCCCCCCAGGTTTCGATGGTCCGCTTTTCAGCGCCAGGTTGTCTAAATTTGCCAAGTACTGCGTTGAACAAGGACTTAACACTGAGGAAAAACATTCTTTCACAGAATGATGCCGCAGATATACGACTTTTAACATCGATTTGGAGCATCGCCTTAGCCAGCTCAAGTATTTCCGGGGTCTGTTTATCTCTGGGCGCCTTTGAGAGTGCCTCAAAATGAAGCAACACGGACTTCTTGAGCATCTTCTTTTTGTCATCCAGCCAAAAGAACTGGTTTTGACATTTCTTACCGCTACTCGTTGTCTCATTGAACCTCTTGCTGCGGAATTCAGCCACACCTTCTTTGCCCCTTTCAATATAAGTTGCAATTTCAGCAAATATACATCCAAAAGCCCAGATATCAATTGACTGTGTAACTGGAACTGCCTGATTGCATTCCGGGGCCTGATAGTCGGTGCCTCGATCTTCAGAGATTAGGTATGTCTCACAGACCGAATTTCCTTTCCCAACAACCTCCGTCGAAAATCCGAAGTCTGCGAGAAGGAAGGTATCTTTGTTAACAAAAATATTCGCGGGACGAATGTCCCCGCGTAAATATTTATGCGAATATCCGTCCTCCCTAGTGAGGACCAGACCGTGGGCATCTTTCAAAGCGGAGGACAGCCCGTGGAGAGCGCTGTAGAAAGCGAAGTTGTGCTTAAAATTTCCGAACGGGGCTTTATTATCCCAGTTGAGCAATTGCTCGAGATTCATGTCTTCGACAGAGTTGAACATAATGTTCCATTCTGTTCCCTGGATGTAGGCACAGAAGAAGGGTGTGATGTTGGGGTTTTGGAGTTCTCGGAGACGCTTCAGTTTTCCGAGTTCTTCGATGTTGGATTCCTCTTTCTCCTCCGGTTGGTTGGGGTATATTCTGCGGATAAGAAACGTTCGTCCGTCCTATTCAAAATTAGGATCAGACTTTACAGCAAGATGAGATGGATTATACCACATACCTTATTTGGCTGGGGCTTTAAATTCTCATGCGCCGAGCTAGACACCTCAGTCCTAAACACCCCGCTATTTCCAAGTGGTACCTGTGACAAAAACGGCACCACTGTTTCCGTATCAATAATCTCCACCGGCCTGGTGGAACTAAACACGTGCGGAATAAATTTATGCTGAACTTCTAAGAAGTGCCTCCTTAGCACATCTGGCCTTCTCATGCCACCAAAGACACCCGCCTCATCTAGAGCGTCTAGTGATAAAGGAAGCCTATCCAAACGCTGCCTATACAAAGAGAAAATACAAACAGACTCTACACAGCGCATGTGTAGTAAGATCGCAAAGAATGTCAGGTAGGGCTTATTTGGTGTGAGGATATAATTCACAAGGCTGTGAACGTCGGTGACGGGAAGACTTATATTGCAGTCGACGAGGATCTTATGGATTTTTTCCCGAGTGAGAAAACGGGCGATGGAAGCGGGATCAAAGAATCCGCGCTGCGAGATAGCGTTTTGCTCAAGGGCTTGGATGTTCCAGAATGAGTTTTCCCGGCATTGTTTCTTTGTGGCACTGGTATTCATTATGAGGGTTTGGGTAATGTGGTATTGAAATGCTGGGAATGGGTATCGGGGGATGTTGAGATTTACTGATATTGAGAAATCGTTTATTGAAGTTTAATAATACTGATGAATAACAGTGTCCGTCACTTGGATTGAGAAACGTTTCGTGGGTGGGGTTGATTTGAATATAGGTATAGGTATGTTTGACCAGATATTCAGGAATCGAGTATGAGATATTTAGACGTTGATCGGATGTGGGCGTATATAGGAACTCGTATAATCAAGTAAAATAAGACGATGGTGCTGATGGTGCTGATGGCTATTTCCTGGTCAATTAAAGAACTCTCAGGCTTATATACGTTTTGAAGAATAAACGACGAAGCTTAGGCCATCGATCCTATAAGGTCTGCATGTCTCGCAAATTTTTTATATCACCAATTACAACTAGCGAAGATAGTCAAGAGCTAGCTTTAGGCATACTTAAAGCGCCCTCGAGAAGCGCCTGAAGTGGGCACTAGTTAAAAGCTTACACGCGCTGAAGTTTAGTGAAACCAACAAGCCCACAACTAACGATACAGCTATAACTGCACTGGAATTAAAGTCTAAGGTGTCTTAGGGCTGGTAGGTAAAATTATAAAAACCAAAATCTTAAGATTTTCCGCTGATTGCTGCGGTACTCAACTCTAGCTTGTGTCTCAGAAGCCTGCGGCCAGGGCGTTTAATGTAAGGATTTTCAACATATTAGGAAAAGACCAGTTTGCAACTACATCATAGCTGAGAACAAAGTAAATTAGCCGCCGATAGCAATGTGGTCAATGTCGCATAATTTCAGCTCTATGTTATTATTTCTTAACTCCAGGTCTTCTTTGTGATCGCGAAGACGGCAATGGTCTCCTACTGCTAGGACAAATTACACCACCACAAGTTGGAGTTTCGTCGAATTCAACAAATAGAAAACGTTAATTGAACCAGACCTGATATGATAAAACGCTACAATGCAATATGATATATCCAACCATCCCTATCCAAATACAAATGCTTAAAAACAAACTTTGACCCGCAAAAATATTCCCTTATTCCGTCTCACGCAAACTTCTAATCTCACTCTATTGGGGCATGTCAGTGACTACTCCACAAGAAATGGCAGGTAGGGATACCTTTGTGAGTTTTCTGGGAGTTACTATTCTAATTTTATCACCGATTTGCTAAATAGTCGATAAGCTCCTACTCTGATGCTGAATACAAACAAATAGGGAAAAACCTCTTTATACCACTTGCCATCCTCAGGCCCGAATAAATTCCCCAGTACCTTGTCGATCTTCTTTCTTGACATATAGCGGTCCTCGAGCACGAACTCTTCTGGCATACTGGACATGATGATAACCTTAAAGGCTGGAGATATGAAAAGTCTTGTGTGAATGATTCAGAGGCCTTGAGGGGGAAGAAGGCAACAGCCTGCCTGCTTAGATTTATATCTGCGCCGCACTCTAGATTTCACTGCTGGCATATCGAAGTGGTTGCGGCCCGGACCGTACCCCCTGCAGAATGTTGCCTGAAGGTTTCAGGCACGCAACATCGAACAAGCTAGGCGCCAAAGCTTGCATTGGATTTTCCGAGCTAGCAAAAATGCATAATGCCTCCAAATAGAGGGTACCTATTGGAGTACATCTACTCCACTTCGCCCCATTGTATGGATAAGTTTAGATACACACACACAGTCGAAATCGAGAAAATCTCTAGCTCTAGTCTATTAAGAACACTTCTAGCTCTAGTCTATTAAGAACACTTCTAGCCCACAGTTCGCAATAAACACTCGTATTTTTCTGACGATTTTTGGTGTATGCAATAGTGGCCTAGTTCAAAAACGTCAGGAAGATACGAGTACATGTAGGTAGTTAAGTAGGCAGTGCAGTTCGTGCACAATCCCAGCTGTCCTCGTGCGCATAGGCTTTAGCGGATAACCGCGGGGTTCCGCCAACGCACTCTACGCGCTTCCACGCGCACGTGGTAGCTGATGTTAAATAGCTTACCGCGTCCCAGATATTCGTGACCCCTAGCCGGGGCTCTGGTTTCTGCTCCTACATAGCCGCTCACTTCCTTCAGGTACCCCTGGGTCTATAAATCGTCAATAACTATATGCACAATATACGCAATTCGCGACGTTTGTTCCAGCCCGCCGAGATAAATTATCCAACACAACCCCACCAGTAACACCATGGCCTCCGTAAGTAATATCTTTTTACCTCAGCATCGAGTGTGGGTGTGCTAACCCTCCAACCCCAAAACCAGCTTAGCACATGGGGAAAATACCCGTTCGGGATCACCCGTGTTGTCCCATGCGTCGATAATCTGTATCAGCTCCGCGATGAGCTGGAGAAGCGCGGGGAAGAACTATTTGTGGATCAGGAGTCTAAGGTTAGACTAGAGGTGTTACATCGCGGGATTCTGTGGACACCGCCAGTACAGGATCTGCAGGTAGCAAGTTCAGGTATGAGAATTGTAATCATAAGGTGGGTTACGAATAATTCTGATGTAGACAGGCTTGTCAATAGCAGGCAAACCACACATCTCTAGTACTGCAGAATTGGAAACATTCTTGAAGGTAGGTATCTAATACTACCACACGGTATCTATTGACTATAGGCAATCAATAAGCTAACTTCATATCTATCCACAGCAAACATCTAAAGACAAAACCGGTACAAAGATCTTGTCCGTATTTCCGTCCATGACTATAATGATAAGTATACATCCCAAGCTAACTCCGTAGGTATATAGTTTAATTCACCAATTAAACACCTGGTCTCGTCTCAAGATAACGTTTGAGTTATTCTGTCTGCTATGTAGCTCATACTCCATCTTCCCAAAATACCTCCCCTTTATCTTCGCCTTCGGCATCAAAGACGAGGAAACGGACCGCCACTTCTCTGGCTGCTCTCCACGGTTCCACTTTAATGGTGACCTGCCACTGGGATACGGTAGGTCTTTATTCATCCCTATGTATATACCCCAGGATTGTAATAACGAGTGAGGCTGTATATATGCACATCGTACTCACAGAGCTCTGCTACAACATCCGCTACTACGCCGAAAACGGGCGCGGCGACGAAGAGTTCCCCTGGTCGTGCCGCCACTGCGCCATATATCAGCAGTACTCGCTCCAGGACAATGCGTCGGTCTGGGTGCTAGTGCAAGTACCGCTGAGTGCGCAAGAGGGGTTGAAAAGGATTGTGGGTGAGAAGGGAGATGCAGGCCATCCGATGCAGTTGCACTTACACTTCCTTGTAGAGTGTGAGAGGGGCTGGAGAGGATATGTTAATTACTTGGGTGGGGAGCTAGAGAAGATGGTAAGTGACCTCTCCGGGCCGCACGGGACTCGGTGGTTACACGCTTCTCACTTACATCTTGTTGTGGCCGAAACAGAGTGATCGGATCCGGTTTCGCAGAATCAATAGTGTCAATTTTGGCGTAGAGTTCCAGCACAGTCAAGACATTGGTGTTCTCAGGAACAGGCTCAGTCAGGCGTTGTCGATCCTTGAAGCCAATCTCGACACGGCACTCAAGCTAGCAGCCCACTATGAAAATTTGAAACCTTACCGAACATGCACCATTGGTGCCGACATCTGTTTCAGGACGGAGCTGACCGAGTATGAAAGCTCTCTCAAAGGCCATATCCGGAGCGTCAAAGAACTTCTCGTGACATCTGAGGATATCCGGCTGATGGTAAGCCTTTGACTATTTATATTGCGTGTAGACTCGTGATAAGAACGTGCAACACTAACGTCTCAGATCCTCAAAGTCCTCGACTTCCGCAACGACGAAGCCATGGAAGGGAACAGCTCAGCGCTAAGGGAGCTCGCCGCCGACGCCGCATCAGAGAATAAGCTTCTTGTCACGCTTGCGGAAAAGACACGCGACGAATCACGGTTTATGGGCATTGCGACGGTGGTGGCGATGATCTACCTGCCGGCGGGACTGGTCGCTGTATGTTTACCCTTTCTTAGATCGTGAGGTGTATGTGTGGTTTGTTAATTGACAGCGCTGTGTGATTGTGCGGATTGTAGGCGCTGTTTAGTACGAGTCTCGTCGAGGTCTCAGAGAGCTCGAGCATGGGCGGGATTGTGGTGAGGAAGCAGTTTTGGGTGTTTGTGTTGGCGACGACGGGGCTTATGATGGTTACGATTTCGGCGGCGTGGGCGTGGAACTGGAGGTCAAAGAAGAGGAGTGAGCAGGGGAAGATATAGAAAGGGGATTTTTTTTTAATGAAGATTGTTTATTAGAGCCTTGGTATTAATGATAGATAATAATGATTTGGATCAGTTCGAAGGGGCAGAATTTCCCGGCCGCCAGCTACCTAACGCTTTCACATCATTTCCCACCATTTTCCTTGAATAGCCTTTGCAGAGTGGTTCTGCCGCCTCTCCGTCTTTCATCTACTTTGCCCATGGCAACTTGGCGCATAAGAAATTCCTACCCATCCTCGTTGTATAACCAGCGCTCCGCCAAAACCGTAACCACTACTTCCAGCCCACTGGAAACTCACAGGTGTCTACAGAAAACACATGTAGTACCGCCGCCTAGCGCTGAGCGCGGCAAATACTCAGCATCCCAAACAGTAAATATGCCAAGCCTGGCTGTCAAAAGACTGTTCTAGCGATCATTGACACCTCTTGGCACAACGAGAGAAGCGGAAGCTCATACCCAGCCCGAACACGAAGGAGTAAGTTCGTGCCGAGCTTGTCGTATGTTTATAGACAGGTTTGTATGGTTTACACACACACATACAAGCACTTAGGGACAATGGTATGTTCAAATTCATGTCATCACTAAGTGCCTCCCTCCTGCCGCCGTAAAAACCAGATCTTATACGTATCAGCCCGGGGCTCACTCCATCTATCCTAGAAGCGGCACCCTGTTACTATGTACATGTACCCATCCAGTGTTTCTATGGCGGCTGGAAAGCACGTAGGGGTAAAACCTCCACACCGGGATATATCGGGGGGGCTCTATGAGCTAGTGTAAGCTACATGATGTATATCTAAGATCTCGGCACACCGACGCACCTCGCAGAGCCGACCGACGCGGCCCCTATAGATACATGTATGTAACTAGCTCCAAACTGAGCTTATCACCAAATATACCACACCTGTATTCCATCGTCGGTAGTGTAGTGGTTAACATACCAAAACTCAGCTCGTAGGTGTTAGTGCTGTGAGGAGATCTTGGGTTCAATTAATCCCAACCGTCGACATCAATTCTTTTTTTGTTTCCATTTTGTAGGGGGGCTCCACGCACCCAACCCCAGTGGCCTGCTCCCCAGTCGCCGGCCGTGTCTATCACCTAGCTGCTAGTTCTTTCACGCCCAGCTCACACGTTACAACGGCTACGTGGTTCTAAGCGGTTGAGCATAGGTGTTCCTTTTGAGATGTTATAAAGTCAAGCTGCGGCACTGACTTGATCCAACCATCATCACTCTCTCACTCTCACTCTCGAGCATTCAGAGCAATGAGACCTCGATCACTAACAACCTAGAAGCGTCCATCTGATATGGTTTCGCCCACGCCAATCGCCCACTCTTGTTGGTAAGTGAATAAAAATCTACCCCCTGACTACGCTCTAACTACTTACATTGACTCACAAGATATCACTCGTCCGCGCTATAATGAATTGTATTACTTTATAAATTAATTACCACTACATACATGCATACATAACCACATTTAACATCCTCCACCGTGTAACCTAACCATCAACCTCAACCCTCAACACCATCCGCTGCCTTATCGATCTCAATCCTCTTATTCACGCCGCCGCCGCTTCCCCTGCCCAGCACCAGCACCAACGGACACACCGCTGCCGCCACAACTGCCTCAAATATCAACGACCTACAATATTCCCACCGTCAGTCTTCTCTAAACCTCAGTCAATAGCACGTAAGTAGACATACCTTCTCATCTTCCCTCCATCCCCCACATCCTTCAACGCGTCCATCACCAACAAAAACACCGCGCCTAGTATCTGCCCCCCACACCACAACAGCGAGCTCGTCAGCTCAGGACTCACCGGATGCGTCAGCTCCACCACCCACTCGAGCACCACGGGCAGCAGACTGAAGCTCGTGGCACCAAGCACCGCGCACACGATGTATGGGGGCGCGAGGGCGCCGTTGACGTCGACGACCCAGATCAGCACGATGTAGCATGCAGCGATCAGGGGCACTTGTATCTTGATGGCAAGGAGGAAGCTGTGCGTTCGGTCGATGAGGGGAGAGATGATGGCGCTGGTGATGAGGCCGACGAGGATCAGGGCGGCGCCGGCGAGGCCGGCTTCATCGGCGGTGTAGCCGTAGGGGAGCATTATCTACTCTTACTGTGAGTATTGGGTTGGGGGAGCGATAGAGAGAGTGCTTACCTGGTTCAAGAGGGAGGACATGGCGTTGAAGAAGCCGAGATAGATTGAGAACTGTGGGCGCAAATCGTTAACCTTCTGTCCCAATACAAGCCTACAGTTCACCGAATAGCCTCCTTACCAGCAGCCACACGATCCAAAACTCCTTATTCCTCAACACCGCACCCAGAGCCTCCTTAAACGGCAATTTCAGCGTCGCCGCGCTCGCGCACGGCGGCGTCGGCGGCCTCGCCTGCACCAACACACAAGGCACACAGGCCACCGTCGCAATGACCGACACCCACAGCACCATTCCCGGGATCTTATCCGGACTTGTCGCAATCATCGGGTTAATAAGCTGTCCCAGCGCCGCGCCAAGAGGGTTGGACAGACTCGCCAGCGCAGTGGCCGAGATGCGGCCGCTGGAAGTGAACCAGAGGTCACTGTAGTATGTGGGCGCCGAGAGAACAAAGGGCTGGGCGAAGCCGATTAGGATCTGCCCGACCATCACCGCGCTGAAGGACTGTGTGCGCGTGCCGGCGTAGCGGATCCAGTTACCGGAGAGGGTGAGGACAGAGGCGACGAGGATGGCGGTCTTGACACCATGATGGTTGAGGGTGTATATTACTGCGCTGCATGAAGATTGATGGAAGTGTCAGCTACGGACTGACTGTCTATATAAGAGGACTAGCTAGACAGGATCACGAACGGACTGGCAACCGCAAAGGCAAAGAATATCACCGTCGACAACCAGTTCACCGGCGTCTGGGACGGCAGCCCAAACCATATCTGAGAACTGTCACTGACAGGCGCAAACGTGAGCCACTATGTCGTTACTCCCCAATCAGCAAACCAACCCAAGCAACCACTCCAGCGGGTGCAAAACTCACGCCCCAAGAGATCACAATATTCAGCAGCATCAGCATCCCCAGCCCGAGCCATCGTCGCTTGTACACTCTGTACACCACCGCGCCTGCCTCCTCCCCCGCAAATGTGTTTGGACTGTCGTTGTGTATTTGGCCCATCCTCTGCCAGCCGGTTTCGGTATTTGGATGATCGTGGTTATGGTTGTGTGTAGCTGAGCCTGAAAGAAGGCCGAGCGATTCCAGGAGTACCATCGTGTACCGCTATATATGGTCTTGAATTCTTGATAATGTGGGGGGCGAGCACCCTTGTTTTTAGTAAGGGGGGTGAAGCAAGATAAGGTAATTGGCGTACATATGTCTCGTCCCAAACCAAACTCTTACAGATGGATGGTCGCAAAATGTGGAAATGTGGAGGCGGAAACAAAAAGCACAGATTCGTTAAATAGAGGAATGGGTGTGCGGCTGGCAGTGGTAGCTGACGGTAACCTTGTCGAGAATTCCGGCCTCGACAAGCTTCTTGATCTCTGGATAAACATCCTTGCGAGAAATGTCGAGATTGGAAATGATTCTCGAGGGCAGATAACCTTACTCTGGCTACTCGAATCTCGTACTGCAACTAGCTACGCAGAGATAAAATTGGCTATGCAGCGTGCTGAGTAGTAGAGATGCTAGTTATTAGAGTACAACCCTGAGAAATACGGACCTCCATGACTAACGACTTATCTCGCGAACTTCTCGTCGCCCGTTAGACATGGGATGGAAGCTACAGTAGAATAGATGAGCACCCACAGATCTACAACGGTGTGCAGTCGAACTGCTATGCACCATGTGATCATTGGCACTGTGATACCTACTCTTTCTAGGGCCTGCTCCGTTTACAGTCTATCACAGATCGAGTCCGATATATCTAATTGAGCATGTTCGGGTCCAATCTATCTCATCGAATACCCATTGGGGTCCAGTAGTGGAGTTGAGTATTGGGGTCCACGGTCAGGTCGGTCACTTCTGGGCACGGCACAGGAACGAACGGTCCAAGGTCCAACCTGTTCCAACATGTCTTGCATATGTTTCTTTTTGCTGCTCAGTTCAAGGGGTAAAAACAAAATCGGCGTGACTGTCAAAAACCGTTATGGCGCCCTTATAAATACATGTATGTAAGCAGGCATAGGTACACAAAACGAAGCCCTTTTTGGGTTTATGGGTTGAGTTCCTGCATGTTTGGATCCCCAGTTGTAACTTGCAACCGAACAGGCTACGGGCACCACTACCGCCGGCCCTTATCATAAGGTCTCAGAACAGGTGTTCTACTCTACCCAACCAACAACTTTCCGTGTCCAGGACCGGATCGAGTTTTAGGTTTTAAGGTACTCTAGTGTTATGTGGCGCTGACTCACAGCGGCACTGGATATGCATGTGGATTATCAAAGACAGCTTCAGCCTTCAGGTGTGAGTGTGCCCAATCATGTATTCTCGCTCGTTCAGCCCTCAGCTCCCGTTGTGGAAATGGCACTCCTGGGTTATTAAGTAGACACAACACAGATGATCACCAAAGTAAAGGACAGATCAAGCAAAGCAGAGCATACCACGTTGATTATGAGAATACCCAAATTATACCTCTGTGTTCTCTGAACTGATTCCTCCCAGAAAGAAAGAAAGAAAAAAAAGTATTGAGAAAAAAAAAAGACTACGTAAAAATCATAATCTAATGAAAATCCTCGTCTCACATGTATTAAAGAATAACCTTCTCCTCCTCACTCACTCAATTTCAACTTCAACTCCACTGCTTCTTCTTCAATCCCCCCTTCGCCTTCTTCCCTCTCGCCGGTGCAGTGAGCACCCAGCTCCAGTCCTCAACCCCGTCGACAAACAGCTGGTATTTCAGCACGGCTTGCTCCACGTTCGTAGTATCGATTGTGATTGCTCCGAATTTCACGTTACCGTCGGGTTGGTATCTACAAAGGGCTGTTAGTGAATCCACTCCACTACGGGCGACGAGTGGCTACTTACTTGATAGTGACGTCCTCATTATCCTCTTGGCGGTACGTCCGAATCGGCAGGTAGAACTGGCTCAGCGGGCTACACGAAAACTCATGAACCGCGCTGCTCGCCGGCCACTGTGAATTCTCCGGCGGCGGGAAACTACACACGAAAGAGAATGAGTCAGTCGAGATGCAAACGACGTGCGTTGCGGGAAAGAACAGCAACAGCAACAGGAACAAGAACACTCACGCAGTAGCAGCAAACTCATGGCGATCACCACTCAGCACCACCACACCGCTGCGTCCGCCCACACTCCATGCAGTCTCCAGGATTTGTCTCCGCTCATGCAGGTATCCGGCCCACGTGTCGTTCCCGCCGAACCTCCAGTTCTTTGTGAACGGCACGCTGCTGACGATGAACTTCCACTGCACCTCCTCCCCGTGGCCCAAGTCGGCGCCGCCGTCGTCCTTCTTAAGCCAGTTGAGCAGGTCCTCGAGCTGCTGCTTTCCCAACATGGTCTTCCCCGGGCCGTCTGGGATGCTGTCGTGCGACCGATAGCGGCGGGTGTCGAGCATGAAGAAGGATGCGCTGGAGCCCCACGAGAAGCTGTAGTATGTTTCGTCGTCTGCGGTGCGCACGGCTGGCGGGTTGGGCGCGTGCTGGTAGTGGTTGAAGGGCTCGATGGCGGCGGGGTAGATGCCGGTTGTGTTTGAGGACCAGTCGTTGGCGATTTCATGGTCGTCCAGAACGTGAATCCACGGCAGGTTGTTACCGGCCGCCGGCCAGTCGGGGGAGGCGTAGATCTGGCGGTAGTATTGGCGGTAGGACTCAACATCGACGCCGGGGCGGCGGGGCACGTCGATGTAGATGAAGTCGCCAAGGAAAAGCATAAATGAGGCCTTTAGCTCTTCGAGCATCCCGCCGAGGACCTTGAACCCCTGTACTGCTAGAGGGTGCTGGAGTGGATCGTATGGGAAACGTGGTTTGATGCATGAGCTTGTTAGGAAGGTGAACTTCCCTCCGGCGGGAGATTTCCCAAGTGGGGGGGCGGTGGTGAACGTTCCATTGTGGGCTGCGGATGTGAAGTATCTGTACTTGGTTTCTGGGTTCAAGTGGGGGATTGTCACTGTCTTTGTGTAATCTGTGGCCTCGGTCAAGAAGGGGATTGTATCAACGAGATGTGCATCAATGATGCCAGGGGCCTCGACCTGATACCACACAGACACTGGGTACTTGAGCTTATCAGGCTCGCGGAAGAGGAGCTTTGCAGAATTAGGGCCGACGTAGCCAATCCTGGCGAATGAGAGGTCCTGGGCTTTGTAGAAGTAATCAGTGCGAAATGTCAAGTCCCATGTTGCAAGGGTTAAAAGACTATTGATTGCGAATGTAGTCCACGATAGCTTTCGGGACGAAGGTGAGGGCGTTCCCAGTAGTAGAGTTTTAAGAGGATGCGTATCTTTGCGGCGGTACACAACTGTCTGCGTAGCTTCCACGGCAGAGAGCTTGTTAGGGTTGAGCAAGAGATTGGTCTGTGTGCTCTCCGACTCCACCACCACAACCCCTGGTGTCTTGGAGACTGCGTATATAGCCTCCTGGGCCTTGGGCTGCACGACAGTGATCTCGGTAGTTTTGCCAACTATCTTGTAGGCTGGTTTTACAAGGTATATGATCGTGAATGTGGCTGCGTAAACGGCAAATGCGGAGAATATAACGCTGACGAAAAGCTAGATAAGCTACTTGTTAGCAATCGATCTCCCGCAGGCCCTCCGGGAGAGGTGCAGGAACTACATACATGACCTGGTATCTGTACACAAGCTCAAACATTAGCGATAAGTCCCAATACCATGCAGGAGCTGTAGCTATCTCATACCCAACGTAAAAAGATATAGCTCGCAACTCTAAGTGTTATAGAGCTGAGGGCGCAGATGGCCGTCAGGGCCGGTGTAGAATCCATTGTGTTTCCAGTATTTCTACCGCAACGATAGTACTGTTAGGAGGAGGTGGTGGGATTTGTATGCTTTAGCTTGTGGATGTTTTAAATATTCACAGCTTAGTTAGTGTCTGTTGGTTTTGGTGTTGAGGTTTTTGCCCAAACTTGACTTGTTGCCATCTGTTGGGGTCTCAACGAGTGACGCAACCATGACACAGAGTACGGGGAGGCGGAACTAGCCGAGGCCGCTTGCTTGAGCCGCAATGACGCTCCTCCACATTCCGCTATAGAGAAATACTACACGTGAAACTGGGAAATTGGTCATTGGCATGCAAATTTGGCTGACAGTCTGGTAACAATGAAGTCTATATCCATAACAGAGATCAATTGTGAATAAGAAAGTGCTGCAAAGACCGAATTATGGGGTCAATGGAATTTGACGGGAATCTCCGGAATTTGCATTCCAGCCAGGGGTGTTTTGGGTTGGAGAAGTTGCCGTTTCTTTAGCGCTAGTATTATTTCTGGGTCAATGGCGAGCTTATTTGGCCTTTGGCCCCCATTGACACATGCTCGCCATTGACCCAGAAAATACTGTAAGCCTTGAAGCTTTCTCTATTATAGGTCAGGCTAGAAAAAAGACCTTTTCGATACGCACTCATTGTCCCAATACATGTCTTCAAGAAACTACAAAGCCACATTTACACGAGTAAGAGCATGGCGCTTTCATACATCTCTTACACTTACAGCTTCCTCTACTAGCCTCCTACTCAAACTGGCAGCAGCATTCTTTTTAATTATAATCAATTGAGTACTACCTGGGAGGAGAGAGTGAATTACACACCCCACCTCCCAAATAACGGTAGCAGAAAGTTATCACAAAGGATCAATCGCAGATCCATGTTTTCCAAGGATCCACTGTTTGCGCTCTAGAACACAAGGTGTGTAAGGGCATCCCTGTTTCTAATAGAATAAGGACCTTCACAGCGGTTTTGTATATCCAGGGTAGAACCATATGAATCTTTGATATATAAATAAACTATTGTGTTGGTAAAGGTATTTGTGAGGTGAACATGATATGTATTGCCAACCCGCTTCGATAACGAGGGGGACAATTGACTGTTTAAGAAAATAACCAAAAGAGGGTTGTGCGATGATCGATCTTCATAACTTCATTAACTACTATTAAAATACTCAAGGAGATTCAAGCTATTGTCTACTCGATTGTCAGCTGAATTCAGAAATCCTAGGCATAATTTTTCTTACCTTGATAAACTACTTTCGGCGCCATCCAAGAATTCGAGAGACCAAACCCGTTGGTTTTAATAACTTTGAAGCACGATCCTTTAACAACTTGAACTCACTCCTATTCTTCTCCTTCTCCTTCTCCTTCTCCTTCTTCGGCTTACCCCCAAGCTCTTCTGGTACCAAGGAGTACCGTACAATCTTACTAGGAGGTAATTTCAGTTTTTCTGCGGCTGCGGCTGCGGCTGCGGCTGCGGCACCTCTTCGAGTCTCAGCTGCAGTCCGATCAACAACGATCGTTTTTTTGCTATCAATTTGGGCTTGTTCCGCTCCCTGAGCCCCATATTCCAACAAGATTCGTATAATATTCTCCCGTCGTATCTCCAACTCGTATTCTGCTTCTAGAGCTGTTTTTCCGCCCTTGTACCTCGCCTCAACGTCCGCACCCTTGTCCAATAAGATCCGCATCGCATATTCGTCCCCGTTCTCCACTGCGTAATGGAAGGGAGTCCGGTCGGACATATCTCGAGCGTTGATATTCGCACCTCCGTTCAAGAATAGTGATATCATATTCTTGTATGTCGATTGCGCAGCTACTTGATTCCCTAGATCCACTTGTTTTGGCGCTCTACCAGGAGTATTTCTCTCCTCCTTTATTCTTGTCGTATGTAGGCCATTCTCGGCGGCGTAATGAAGAGCTGTCTTCCCCCTGGCATCCATAGCCCTGACATCCGCACCATTTTCTAGAAGTAGATCAAGGATAACCTCTGGATCGCGTTCCTTGAATATAACCATCCAACAACAAGATTCCGCTACCCAGTGGAGAGGAGTGCTTCTTCTCTCGTCAATTGTCACGACATTTGTAGAGGCGTCATTTTCTAACAACACCGCAACAACATCCTCGTGCCCCATCTTTACGGCCCAATGGAGCGCTGTTGCGCCAGCTTTGGTGGTGGTCATGCAGTCGACACCCTTCTCCAACATTCTCTTTACTACCGCTACGTGTCCATTTTTTGCTGCCGAGTGAAGTGGCATGTTTCCAGCGCGATCGAAAAGTCCAGCTGCTTCATCGGCTACAAATCCGGTGTCCATCATCAGACTGACCACCAAATCAAATCCCTTTTCGGCAGCTATGTGAAGAGGTGTCTTTTCACGAACATTCATGTATGTGATATCCGCCCCCTTCTCTATAAGGACCTTGACAATCCCTACATGATTACTTGCAGCAGCGAAGTGTAGGGCAGTCCACCCAGCATGGTCTTCCATACCAATTGCCCTCTTGACTAGGGCCTCCCCTCTTTCCTTTGCGACCAGCAATCCGAAACACCCCTCGAGCCCCTTATCGGCCGCCAAGTGCAGTGCCGTAGTTCCGACCCTGTTCTGTGCGGTGATGTCGATTCCCCTTTTCTCTAACAGTACACGAACCACTCCTTCGTGCCCATTTTTGACTCCTAGGTGAAGCAATGTATCGTCATCCGCAACACTTCGCACCGTAATATCACCTCCTCTCTGTGCGATTTGAATGATGGGTGTTTCGTGGCCTTCGATTACAGCCCATTCGAGAACAGTTTCTAGCTTGTATTCTTGTTTCGATAACAGGTCTGCAACGGCAAGATCGTAAAAGCGAGGCGTTAAAAGGGACGAAAGCCGCCGATTTGTAATGAGGAGAGACTTGACGTCTTTTTGTCCGAGGTATTGCGCGATTGCAAGTATGGTCCTGTTTTCAAGACCGAGAAGAGCCATTTGTGGTGTAATTCAACGTGGGGTATGATAATCTGCCTCAACTGTTAGTTACTGTAGCATGTATGACAATATGGCTAAATGTTGAGTTTGTTCATGGTAAACACACCCCTGAACGGACTTGTAGGACGTACCAAAACGCGTTAAGATAGTTCAAAATTATAACACTAAAAGGAAAAATGCTTAAAGGAAGGAAGGACTGGGAGATTGAAGTGATGAAAGACTTCTACGGCCGCGGAGGGGTACCTAAGTACTGTACTTCACCACGTTTATGACGAAAATGATGATGTGGACTGTAAGACATCGTTCGTTCGAGCATGTCCCCGGGTCGGTAGGTTTTGTCTAGAGTGTGGGCCAAGGGGCCAATGGGCAAGAAATCACTGTCTTAGATTGACAATTTTGATAAAGCCACGGACCCTGTAAACTCGGCCAAGACCGTGTAAAATTTGTTTTCCGCAGGGATTGGGTCACGGGGCACCACTAAGTTGAGCCAACATGCAGCCTTAACCAATTGTCTGCCCACGCGAGTGAGAGATGATGATTTCTAAGAAGGCTTTTCCCGTTGATCACCTTTACCGAGTCGACACGTCTGGTACAGGAGACACGAGCAGCTTCCCGATTGGGGCTGCAAGCTGTCAACGAAGCAACCCCGCATATCAACATCCAATAGTCATCATCGTGAATCTTTTCAGTATTTAGTGCGTGTACTGCGCATAAACGAATCCTAGGATCTACAAGATTTTGAGAGCTTTATCATTTTGTTCAACTCTAAACAAGTCACCGGTCAGTTTACATGATGCAAAACGCCTGAACTGACTGTATTTATGCAAGAATCATTCATTTCCCCTCATCTATGAGCATCACTCTCCGCATCTTATCGAACCCACGCGGAGTGAAGCCTAACTAAGGGTTCCCCTCACGCGTGTACATTCCTTACCTTTCTTATCTCTAGTATCTTCATCCTTCCCCTCCGGAGAAACGTGTTTTCTCTGCTGGGTGATAGATTTATCATCCTCTTGTTCGATGTGAGGAGAGAAAAGAAAGAATCAAAATTCCTGTCCCCGTCGCCCTTGGACACCTAAGGCCTCTGGACCGATGAAATTTGATCATTAAGAGAATCATTACATGCATAGCTGCCGGGTAGAGAGGAAATGGCCCGTGCTTTCCGATTCGCAATTAAACATTCGCTGCAAGTGAGACCGAATTTCGTCCGATATCTCGCACTAAGTATGATCCACTAGTCTAGCCAGTATTGATATACTCAAAGGTCAATGAGCATCGCTCGACCTCTGAGTAATTCGAAGCTTGGGTCGATGCATGTCTTACTAGATCAGATAAACCCAGTACCATATCTTCAGCCTAAGAAATAAAAATTAGTAACCTCGAGATTGTATGTGGGAATCCACGAGACATGCTCGTGTCATGTGCTATGACAGCTCATATGTAGAGCACTAGTAGTTTAATTCTTTCACATGGTCAACTTCGGTCACTCACTTGTAATACATGATATTCTTGTGGTATTAGTGGTAGTGCTAAAGTACCGTACATCCTCTGTAGGTACATGTAGTAGTAGAAGTGGTGGTGGTGGTGGTGGTGGTGGTGTAGCTAAATGTCATTAGAATGAAGGTACATGGCGTCGATCGTACTTTTTGAACCTTGTAGCTACCGAGTACAGAACTTGTAACGTCCCGCACGGCTCAAGGTAAGACCAGAGCTTATTTTTTTCTAAGTCACAAATTCTTTTGTGGCGTACAGAACCTACTGTGGCTTTTTCAGAAGGCGTATGTGAAAAAGTTTGTTGCAGGGATTCGATAAGATATAAGAAATGCCCTTTTCGTGGAAATCCCAATTTGATAGGTGGGTAATTTTCATAAAGGTACAGCAGATAACTTAGCTGCAATGTACGCTTATTTAAAAGATTACTTTTAGATATCTAGAGATGCTGGGTCCTGACTCGGTCCGGGGCCTTGTCACTTCGGGACAACCCGGGGGTAGAATCTTTCTCAGGCACAATGCCATTAAAAATTGTTTCCACTAGAAGCCTAAATAACGAACCTCGGTTCATCAACTCTTTTGGGTCAATTACATGTATTATAGATACATAGGGTATTGTATGTAGTTCTTGCAATATCAATGTGCAGGTTGAGGGGGAATAAGTTTTTGCGCAGATTTACCCCCCTCCGGATATTTATATAGCCGGTTCCGAGTATCTCCTTCACGCCCGAAACGCAATACTTCACACGACATCACTCGTCAGGTACCAATGCTGAGCTCGAGTCTCGTGCTACATTTGAAAATGCTCCTTTTGGACGGCGATCCTGTAGTAAGCTTAGGTCATGATGCCTTGTTTTACGACGACTCGAAAACAGCGCAATTGAAGCTGACGCTCTTACATAACTAAAACACGGGTCATCTGTATGCTTTGCCAAGGATTCAGAACTTTGGTTGTCAAGGGGAAAGATTAGATCGTGCTTATCTATTCGCTCAGGGTGCAGAAGGAACGAGGGATTTTATCGCGCTAGTTACCAAAACGGACTAGTAGGTCACATCCCCACGAATCTCCTCTCGTGCACTTCATGGTTGACCTTTTTTTCTTTTCTCGTTTCCTTCTAGAAGAGAGTGCCTTGTTTAACGAACCCCCTCCCCAGTTCTACGGCACTTCCTCGGGTCACCCCTCCGAGTTTCCCTTGTTCCCGAGCATCCATTGCCCCCTCCGTCCCCCGAGCACCTATACCACTACAACTACAGTAACCGCCACATATTCATCGCCGTTATCATCGTATTGCTCCTCTCCCCCCCTCTTCATCTTCTTTATACCCATCACGAGCATTTCTTGATACCTCAACATGCTTCGTTCGAGCCTTCGCTCATGTCGCCTTGGCGGCAGTTCTATCTCCAGCCTTCGTGGCTCAGTGCCTGTGACTACTCCACCTCGCTGGTCCAGGTCTCTACCAACACAGAGAAAGTTCTTAGCCGTGCAGTCAAGAAGCTATGCTGTATCATCAGCTAATGCGAAAGGAGTGGTATGAATGATGAAATGGTCGATAAATGAACTCCCCGAGCATATAGAAACTGAGAAAACTTGTATTCTAGGATCCTTCAGATGCTTTCCTACAAGGAAACACCGCAAACTATATCGACGAAATGTACCTCTCGTGGAAGAAAGACCCTAAAAGCGTTCACATTTCATGGCAGGTGTATTTCAAGAATATGGAGGGAGATGGTCCTGCATCACAAGCTTTCCAAGCACCCCCAACTCTCGTTCCTACCCCTACCGGTGGTGTTCCTGCGATCGTTCCTGGGGCCCACCTCGGCGGTAATACCGATGTCACAAAGCATTTGAAGGTGCAGCTTCTTGTTCGTGCATATCAGGTTCGAGGACACCACAAAGCAAAGATCGACCCCCTGGGAATCCGATCAATGGAAATTGGTGGAACTGCGAACCCCCGTGAGCTTGACCTTGACCACTACCAATTCACTGAGAAAGATCTTGATGATGAGTATACGCTTGGTCCCGGTATTCTCCCAAGATTCGCTACGGAAGGCAAAGAGAAAATGACTCTGAGGGAAATCGTGGCTGCTTGTGAGAAGACCTACTGTGGCTCTTACGGTGTGGAGTACGTTCACATCCCAGATCGTGAACAATGCGACTGGATTAGGGAGCGTGTTGAGGTCCCTACTCCCTACAAATACAACCATGATGAGAAGCGCCGTATTCTTGACCGTTTGATTTGGTCAACATCCTTCGAATCTTTCCTTTCAACTAAGTACCCCAACGACAAGCGTTTTGGTCTTGAAGGTTGTGAGGCCTTGGTGCCTGGAATGAAGGCATTGATTGATAGATCTGTTGACCACGGGGTGAAGGACATCATCATTGGTATGCCCCATCGTGGTCGTCTCAACGTTCTCTCCAACGTCGTCCGCAAGCCCAATGAGAGTATCTTTAGTGAATTTGGAGGGACAACTGAGCCCAGTGATGAGGGGTCTGGAGACGTCAAATACCATCTCGGAATGAACTTTGAAAGACCCACCCCCTCCGGTAAACGAGTGCAGCTTTCTTTGGTGGCAAATCCCTCTCATTTGGAGGCTGAGGACCCAGTTGTGTTGGGAAAGACCCGTGCAATCCAACACTTCAACAATGACGAGAAGGCACATGCTACTGCTATGGGAGTACTTGTACACGGTGATGCTGCATTTGCTGGACAAGGTGTGGTTTATGAAACCATGGGTTTCCACTCTCTCCCTGCATACTCGACCGGTGGTACCATCCATCTCATTGTGAACAACCAGATTGGATTCACAACAGATCCCCGATTCTCCCGCTCCACACCTTATTGCTCTGACATTGCCAAGTCGATTGATGCGCCTGTCTTCCATGTAAATGCTGAGGATGTCGAAGCTCTCAACTTTGTCTGCCAGTTGGCAGCGGACTGGAGGGCGGAGTTCAAGAGAGATGTTGTTATCGATATTGTGTGCTACAGAAAGTATGGACACAACGAGACCGATCAGCCTAGTTTCACCCAGCCCTTGATGTACAGGAAGATTGCCGAAAAGGTACCGGCTTTGGACCAATATGTCAAAGCTTTGTTGGATGAAGGTAGCTTTTCGGACGAGGACATCCAGGAACACAAGAAATGGTTCGTAGCCTTTGCCCGTTCAGAGTTGTAAACTATCGAAAGCGCACTCTAATTGACTTGAGATTTAGGGTATGGGGTATGTTGGAAGACAGCTTTGCCAAGTCAAAGGACTACCAGCCACTGCCAGGGAATGGCTTACCAGTGCATGGAACGGTGAGTTGATAACGTTAGATCCTCGAATACGCTCTTGTACTGATGTATAACTAGGCTTTAAATCCCCTAAGGAATTGGCTACCGAAGTTCTCCCCCATCTCCCAACCTCAGTTGATGAGGCTACATTGAAGCACATTGCCGACACAATTGCCACTGCTCCCGAAGGATTCCATGTTCACAGAAACTTGCAGCGTATCTTGGCAAACCGTAAGAAGACTGTCGAGGAAGGCAAGAACATCGATTGGTCGACCGCCGAAGCACTTGCTTTTGGTAGTTTGCTCAATGAAGGCAAGCACGTTCGTGTCAGTGGACAGGATGTAGAACGTGGTACCTTCTCACAAAGACACGCAATTCTCCATGACCAGGAAACAGAGGATACCTACACACCCTTGCAGCACATCAGCGAGAACCAGGCTAAATTTGCTATCTGCAACTCTTCGTTGAGTGAATTCGGAGTGTAAGTCTTTCTAGAATCTTGTTTTTTCTCCGGGACACATAAGCTAATAACTTTTAGACTTGGTTTTGAATATGGATACTCACTTTCTTCTCCTGACGCCTTGGTCATCTGGGAGGCCCAGTTTGGAGATTTTGCCAACAATGCCCAATGTATCATCGATCAGTTCATTGCTTCTGGAGAAACTAAGTGGCATCAGCGTACTGGCTTGGTCCTCTCACTTCCTCACGGTTATGATGGACAAGGTCCCGAGCATTCTTCCGGGAGAATTGAGAGATATCTCCAACTGTGTAACGAGGACCCCCGTGTTTTCCCCTCGGAAGCAAAACTCGACCGCCAGCACCAGGATTGCAACATGCAAGTTGCATACATGACCACTCCCTCCAACCTGTTCCACATTTTGAGGAGGCAGATGAACCGTCAATTCAGAAAACGTAAGTCATACAATTCTTGAAGATCAAAGAGATATTACAGATTCTTACAATACACAGCCTTGGTTATCTTTTTCAGCAAAGCTCTCCTCCGTCACCCTCTTGCTCGCTCTGAGCTCTCAGACTTCACCGGAGACTCACATTTCCAGTGGCTGATCCCCGAAACCGAGCACGGCAACGGTCTCAAGGATCCCTCCGAGTGCACTCGCCTATTGATCTGCACTGGTCAAGTCTACGCCGCTCTCCGCAAACACCGTGAAGCTAACAAAATCGACGATGTCGCCATCGCTCGTGTCGAGCAACTGCACCCCTTCCCCTGGGCACAGCTCCGTGACGAATTCGACAAATACCCTAACTTGAAGGAGATCGTCTGGACCCAGGAGGAGCCACTCAATGCCGGTGCCTGGAGCTTTGTGCAACCAAGATTGGACACCATCCTCCGCAACACGCAGAACCATGCTGATAAGCACGTCCAATATGCTGGCAGAAACCCCAGCGCCAGTGTTGCCACTGGTCTCAAGGCTAGCCATGTGGTATGTTTTTTCCTCTCGATTATATGATGACCCGTTATCAGAATCTGATGCTAATAATCTTTGCAGAAAGAGGAGCAGGAGCTGCTGAACGACGCCTTGCGCGTCCACAGCTGATTCACGACATGTTTCTCTGGTTTGTGAAAATTCTGGAATGATCAAGAAGGTGCTATCTTGGTTTCGGAGTTTTTTCTTTTTCTTTTATTTGTTTTCCCTTATCATCCTAAAAGCTGTGTGACTATATTATATTGGGGGTTACTGCTCTATCTCGCTCCAAACCGCGCGCCATAACATCAAATTATTACTACAATCTATATGCCGATTATTTTATACATACTCCGAGCTCTTCTCTGTAGTCCGATTCTTTTTTTATTTATTTTTTCTTTGTCTTTTGTCTTTTCTTGTTCTGTTTTCTCTCGCCAGTTTTGCTTTTGATATTATTTGACTACTTGGTTCTTGATATCTGTTTGTCTTATCTGTATTATAATTATTTCCTAGAGGTTCCCCCTCTCCCCCTTTTGGAATTTGGTTCACTGTAGCATTTTTACTTTGTTCAGACCCGTCCATCCACCCGCCAGCATTTTTGGTTGTCGCAAAAAAAAAAGTACAGCCAATTAGCTGAACAATATAGATTATGATATTGAAACGATATTTCAAAATTTTCTGCCAACTACTCTAGGCCCAAACTTATGGGACGGTCGGTATATCACAACTATTTCTCTATTTCGTTACTGACAGCCGCGCAGAAGACGCATCGCGGTTGCAACGGCTAAATCGGACCTGTCCCCGGCCTTCATGGTGACTAACCGCCGCCACCTATGCGCGGCGAGCATCAAGAGCTAACTACTCTAGCCGGGTCGGTAGAGGTAGAGGCGTCGTGATCTTTGGTGGTTATAAGGCGTTGCGTGGTTATTGGGTTTATGGTGTGTGTTTCTAGGGGTATCTGTAGATATTTACAAAAAATAGGGACAGAAAGGAAGAGACCCTGCAGAAACGGGCCACAAATAGATGTTTAAACATACACCAGTGCTCTAGCCGTGTAGGTGATGGACGCACCGCAAGAGTGGGTGAAGTTAGTATTGCATCACAGGTCATCACTCGGTTGTTTTGACCTAGGCAACGGACAACCTGTACCATGGGCGGGCGGGCCTGAGACCAAACCGGCCCTTATAAGCACACTAAAAAGATTACCACTAACTCCCCAGACCCACCTCATTCAACCCACATCCCATTCCCCACCACAACCTCCAACTCCCGCCCACCATGCCCGCCACCACCATCACCACACTATCCACAATGTCCACCCCCCGCCCCCACCCACAGCACCAAACAATCCCTCTCCTCCCCGTCTCCCTCGCCCTCACCGCCCTCGCCCTCCACCTGCACGCCTACTACCCGCTCCTCCTGCACGCCGTCCTCATTGCCTTCTACACCACCAAGCTCGCCGCGCACTACGCCGTCGCCAACGGCGCCCTCACCATCGTGGACAACATCGTGGACGACATCGTGCGCATCCATGGCGCGGCCGCGAGGGAGCGGTGGGAAACGATCATGGGCATCGTGCAGCTGGGGGCGAGGGTGGGGCTGCTGCTGTGGGGTGTTGTGCGCGTGGTGTGGGGGTGCTGGATTGGATTTTTAGAGGTATGTGGTTTGTCGTGGAGTGGTGGGGTGGTGGTGAGGGAGAGGGCTGATGCTGTGCGCGTGTATGTAGGATATTATATCATGGAGGAGCCTGCCGTCGCTCTGAGTGTTCAAGAGGTGGAAGAGGGAGAGGATGATGAAGAGGAGGAGGAGGAGGAGCTGGTGTTCAGGCTCAGCGGGTCCGGTGGTAGGTTTGAAGGAGAAGTCCAAGTCGTCGGCATGGGGGAGGAGGAGAGGGTTGAGGGCAGGTTTGGGCCCGCGGGCTTTGCGAGCGTGTCGCCGAGCTCGAGGACGACGCTCGTGGTGTATGATCCTGCTATGGCGCACACTGTTGAGTGGCGTTACAGCAGCTCGCAGCTACAGAAACTGGCCTAGGTGATACTGGGAGAGGTGTAGCTGTGAAGCTTACGTTAAATGGTGGTGATTTGTCCGCTTTTCTTTTTCTCTGATTTGTATAGCTACTGGTGGTGGAAAAAAAAAGCTACACATACTATTGATAATCACAGTGGGGTACGTTTGAGTTATGGTTGTTGGTGCTTTTGCGTGTTTAGTTGGTGTGGTGTTTTATTCTTTGCGTTCACTGAGATGGATATTGGTGGTTTTTGGTATGTACGTCCTTAGCCCCATTATCATCGTTATGAGCTATAAACAGAGATCAAAAACCCCACGGTGCACAATATAGAACTGTTTTCAGAGATGGTTAAAGTGAAGAACCGGGGACGTAGATGAACGAACTGATGAGCAGAAACAAAAGTCTAAAGCTCTCTTTATAATCACAAAAGCACAGATAGTCAGACTACATACATTAATAGTTGTTGTTTTGTAGCCTTTATAATATATCTATTATTAGCACTATATCAAGACAACGAGTTTAGTTTGGCTATCTTGATTATACGTGTTTAAATCTATAGGAAAGGTCTAAGCAAGATGACAGTTCGGTATGATCCAAAACGAATACTTTACAGAAGGGTCAGGGTTCTTCTTCATCTTGACACAGTGCCAAAGTTAAGTATCACTTCCAGCACAGCATCCACTATGGGCGGGTGGTCTAGTGGATAGACTGCTCGTCGACACCGAGCGTACCCAGGATACAACCACACACACATAAGGTCCTGGGTTCAAACCAGGGGTGGGGATAGCAGTCGCAAATTTCTCAATAAGACGCTGCAGTATCTTTTGTAGTTTTATAGATCGAACGCTTTGTTCTTGTTTTTTTCTTTTATAGTAGAATAGTTTAGGAACGCTATTTTGATGTTTGGTTTTCTCTAGAGGGGGAAATTAATGGGGGGAGCGCTAGGAATCGACCCTTATTACTTAATAGCTCTCGGCGTGAAGTCGAATAGACTTTTAGACGATCAGTAGCGAACAGCGCCATTTTGCATCATGTGTTGTTGCAGAGCACGTATAACTACATGTACCCGGGGGTGCCGGAAAGTGATGCAACGATCAAATAGTCCATATTCCTCAACAACCAAACTAGCTAACGGAATCTGGAGCGAATCTATGGTAATTTAGAAGCTGGAGATACTAGTTATGGTAAGAGTAAATATGAATAGCCATTGCTTCTCCTCTTAATTGCTGTACATGTCTCTTGTCACAAATTGTTCTTTTGAAGGCTAAATACCCCAAGTCAATGACCAGAAAAAGTGCAGACTCTATTCTAGAGACTCATGTATCATGCATATGACTAAAATATCTATCTTGTTCAAGCATTGTGTTGTGTTAAAAATTGAAATTCTGAGTGCCTTTCCGCGTTGCTAGGTCAAACGTTGCATCACTTTCCGGCACCCCGGGTACATGTAGATACGAATACTACATGTATGTCATTTTAGACCTTTTCCATTGTTTAAATTACTGATATGTTCATGCATGTTGAGTCCCGTTCTACTAGATGGGAGGATTTGCAGAAAATCAGGAGTACCAAGTGCTTAACTATCAGCCAATTCCGAGCGTGAATTAATGAATTAAACAAAAAAAAAAAATTCCGAGCGTGGGATATATACAATAAACCGGATCAGCTCGCCCGTAAAAAATATATTCTTTGGCCAGAAACAATTTTTATTTTCTTTTATTTACGGGCGTTCACTGGTGAGGAGGCTTTTGTGTCTTACTTGTTTGATCAGACCACAGTACCCATCCCGTAGTAAGCGGCACGCCCAGCTCCCGGCAAGACAGGTAGAGGACTCCCAGCCTATATCTTTTCCCGGTGCGCATATAACGATAACCCACATGTGTACACCGAGATTCCACATAGCACTGCCCATCGTATCTTTTTCAAAACCCTGCTAACCTAGTGCAGTAGGTATGCGCTCCGAGTGAGCGCCCATGACGCAAGCCCTGTCTGTCTCAAGCCTGCACTTTCGAGTGATTCACCATGACCATCCCAACAACAACAATCCATGTCAAATTACTCGGTCTAATCAATTTCAGCCCTTCCGTGCGCTGGCACCAAAAAGCGATCGTCTCGTAAGTATGATGTATTTATTAGTGCCACGGTTGTTTACTTTTTCTGGTACCACTTGTTCTGTGCTACGTACACACAACTGACTCACCCCTGACCGATGTTAAGCGAATATAGCTTAACCTCGATCATAGGCTGTACCACAGCTAGAGTAGCTTCAGAGTTACAAACATGAAGCCGGGTTTCATAAGAATAAGATCGTCTCTCTTTCTGCCCTTGTATGGCTCATTCTTGACCGGGCTTACATTCCAACTTGGCTGCATGGGAGACCCGGTTTCGTAGGGCTGAGTCAATCAGTTAAGATCAAAGCTTGGGATATGGAATATAAAACCCCACCACAGCACCTACAAAACTTAAATCAGCAAGCAAGTTCGAGTAATCCTGCAATTGCAATTCCGCAATTATTCCAAAATACCAAACCTTGAAAATAAACCCGGCCAAAAAACTAACATTACCACAATGTCGACCACCACCGGCACCCCCAGCACCGAGACCCCCTATCGCCAAATCCGCGCCCTCTACGACGCCGACACAATCACCGTCTACCAAGCCTACCAATCCAGCATCGCGCTGCCCGCCGTCGCCTCGCAGAAGCTCTCCGCCTCGCCCGACTTCAACCTCGAGCGCATGACATGGATCAAGCCGAGCTGGACGTGGATGATGTACCGCAGCGGGTACTCGTACAAGAGCGAGCGGCAGGCGCACATCCTCGCGCTCAAGGTCAAGCGCGAGGGCTTTGAGAAGCTGCTGCAGAATGCGTCGGTGGCGTGGAAGGAGAGGAAGGAGATCCGGGTCCAGTGGGACCCGGAGCGGACGGTGGCGTTGGAGAAGCTGCCGTATAGGAGTATACAGGTGGGAGTGGGGAGGGGCATGGTGAAGGAGTGGGTGGAGGAGATGATTGTGGGGATTGAGGTATGTTTTTCCATTCGTTGCATTTTCGATTTTGGGGTATGTGTGCTAATGTTGGTGATAGGATGTGACGGAGAGGGCGAGAGAGATGAAGAAGTTGGTGGATGAGGGGAAGATTGCGGAGGCGGAGAAGTTGGTGCCGGAGGAGAGGGAGTATGTACTGAGTGAGGGGCTAAGGGAGGAGTTATCGATGAATACAACAAAGGAAGATGCGGATCAGTGGAAGCTGGAGCATGGAAAGGGGAATAGTCATTGAGGGGTATGTGTAGACGTTCTGTAGTAGTAAATATTTTTGGAGTCTTTATTGTTCCAAATTTTTATCGCATTATGATTAGGGCCCTGAAGTTATTTTGTGGCTTTGAAGTTTTGAATGGCTTTTTCTCGTTTTTGAATAGTATATTCCCGCCTTTTCTCTCCGTCGCTTTTTTACGAACAGCGCGGTTGGTAAAGAAAATCATGATCCGTCATTGTCTTGAAATATCATTTCCGCAGCTGACCTAATTTCTGAGCATTGCAATCATTGGCACCCGGTTACTAGCTCATTTCACCCAAAAGGTGCACGCGGCCGGGCCAACAATAGATTACTCTACATGCGACCGGCGCAACTATCTGCGGCGCGGCGTCAATCCTCCTCTTAATTAAGCGAATACTATACTCGTCTATTCATAGCGTTTGTGAACACCACCGCTATTGCATGCTATACAAAAAGGTTGTCTTAGCTATCTTTTGTGTGTATGTAATGCCGGTTGTGCTCACAAACGCTGTGAAAAAACGAGTAGATAGTAACCAACTATTCCAAAATAGAGGCAACTAGGGCTGATACCTAGTCGCGTAGCTAGGAATGCCGCATCAGCGATTAAAAAGGTGCAGCGCGGTATGGCAACACAACCAGAACGCCCGCCCAACACCGCACTGCACCGCCCCGCGCCCGTCGCCCATCAGAAGAAGACAACGATAATAATTTACAATCCACCCGACAGTGACTGTGTAGAGACCAATCTATATCCACCGGGTGGTTGGTATGGTATGTAGTACGATAATATCGTCCCATGACGTGTGGTACTTGCATCATATCATCCACCCACTGCATCATCCAGCTAGAACCATCCATCAAGCCAGCTGGGCAGATCAGATTGTTGGCCTCCAACACATTTTATCCCCACGGCAGCTACGGGGAGATCCACGCATAACCAAAATATTGTGTGCAAGAAGACCCGAACCTCCATCTCTGTCCGTCGGGTTCCTCTCGGGCCGATATCCAAAGAAGCATCCATGGCCATGCCCCGACCTGCATACACGCCAAAAGCGCCTCTAATATGACTCTGCTCTACACTGCGTGACCATCCGCCGGCTTCCAGACGGCGCTGATATATAGCTAGGTAGGTCCTCATAACCGCATGCGTGAGCAGCTTCTCAGCCGCCGGATTCCTTTCGGCCCGGTACTTAACTGGTCCAGCTGGCCATGGATCCGGCGGACCATATTTTGATATCTACTATCTACCCCTCCTCTTCGAGCTCCAGCTTCTCCCATAAGAGGAGGAAGAAGGAATGAGGGGTAACTACATGTATCTTTGTGTATGTGTATGTGTATGTGTATGTGTCTATGTAGATAGAATCCCAAGCACGTGCCATCACTCGCCCCACAGCCTCGGATTCCGCCCACCGAAGCAACTTCTACAAACCTCTGAGAAGAAGAGAGAGAAAAATTCCTCACGCGGGCTCTATCCCTTTTCGGATCATACCGGGTTGGAACGAGCTAGCTATCTAGCTAGTCAGCGATCATGAGTCATGAACTGCCAAATAACCCCCAAGGGCCATGGCCATGAAGGGGGAAAAAATCCCAGGAAGATAAGGCAGTTTTTCACTGCCTGCGAGAATTTTTCTTTCTCGCTCCATCTTTTTTCTCCTGAAGCCTCCACATTCTTTTTCCTGAGCCCTCATTCCGATGTCGAAAAAATGCTCGTTAGTGCTTGTCCTCACTATGCGGCCGGCGCGGGTAGCCAGCCAGCTAGCCAGGCGGCCGTATCAAACATCCGAAAAAACAAATTTCACTCTTCTCTCGGCTCCCCCGGCTACTGCTCATGACGCTCTTCCAAGAAGCGAGCGTGTCGGCGAGTGATAATTTTTTTTCCCCTCGCCAACCTCGGCGATGGGGATCATCAGGCCAGCCAGAGCTACTGAATGAGCTAATAAATCATACCGACCCAGCTAGGCGGGAACACCCGCAGCCTTGCTAGTTAGAGTAGAGTAGAGCCCGGGATTATAACGCAGGGCGGGCGAGCCCTAGCAAGGCCGGCCTTAGCAGCAATTAGAGGACGCGGAGGAGAAAAGCCTCGGTATATGATGTTGGTACACCGTGCTAGTTGCAGATATGTCTACTAGATTCCAGCGGCGGGTGGTATGATGAGTAAGGAACCAAACGAGTGACTTGAAAAAAAAGCGAGTATGATATAATTGATCTAGGTAAGGTTGGGAGAAATTTAGGACGCTGAATCATGATCTTCTTCCCCCCCCGGATCGGATGAGAAAACACCATGACTATGCAGGTTTTCTTTTTGTTAGGCTGGGAGGTTGTCCCGAGCCCCGAAGGAACAAACGAATGATTACTTAACCACCCTCTCTGGAGTCTGGATCTACCAGTGGGCCGATTTGTCTGCAAGTGACAACTGGTACCGGGAAGGCTTAGGTAGCTGCCTCTGTAGCGGGGGTTGTTAATTATTTAGTTGGATCCAGTCATACCCATGTGGCCATCGAGTTTTGTATCATAGCTAGATCTATATAGCTAGACGCGAGCGTCTGATTTTTAGTCGCGGAGGAAGAGAAAAAACGATGTGACATATGCAGCCTAGAAGTTGCTAGGTTGCTAGCTGGATTAGCCAAAAGATATGATACCATGGGTATATGTAGGTATCTAGAGTACTGGAGATATCAAACCCTATTCGATAAGGCCACCGGGGTGTGTGAGATCGTCCTGAGTGAGGCTCGCGTTCTTCCTACATATCAGGAATGTAATTCATATTCAGCTCTGAAGCCGGCGATAGACCAAACAATCCTAACTAAACAGCTAGGTAGTAGTAGCTACATGAGCTCGAGAAACAAGATCAATCACTTTCTGGCTTACAGCAAGAATCAAGTAAATCGAACCTCGTAGAGAAGAGTACGTGGCGCGCCCTCACAATCCAGGTCTCCGTAATGTGGAGTAAGAATGAAACGGCCATTTCGACACTCAACGGCGCCGCCATCATGGAATGCTACTTGGCTGGCCTGGCCATGGGCCAACATACCGCCATAACTCGAAAAATTGGCTAGATCAGAATTACTTGTATGAGATACTTCTGATGTAGATCGATGCCATCCAACCAATTATTCAAGCGGTAGTCCCTGGACGGAGATAGCCAATTTTTCGTTTTGGCGGTATCTCCACAGTAGGTTTTTATATTCTTGGCGTTTCCCTGGCAGGGTCCGAACTCAAGCTTTTTTCCCTCCTGCGTCCCTTCTCTTCCGGTAAAAGTTTTTCCGGCACCCGTGACACTGAGAAAAACGTTTTTTCTTTCCCTTCCTGCAAACGTTACCTGTATGGAACGTTATCCCATCGACGTCGCACGTGAGATTTTTTTTTATGGTCTGTCCGGGCCGGGATGTATGGTGTTCCGGAATCCGAGAAGCGATCATTCCCTTACCCCCCCCTACCACCCCCTACCACCCCCTACCACCCCCCCATCTCGCCGTTGCTGGCTGGACCTTATTTTTTGGACTGGTTAAGGGACGAGTGATGTGAGGTGCGTCCATGTGGGTGCTAATATGCTAATATGCAGGTGACGGTGTTGTGCATAGACTCTGCTGCTGGGTCTGTGGATCATTTTGTAGATACTCTCTTTTGAAGACTTTCATTCAACGAAGAGGAGAGAAGATGAAGGTGAAAGCAAAAGTTTAATTGAATCGGCGCAAAAGCCTGCAGATGTCAGGCTTGATTGTGGCTCCCCTTTTCTTTTTCTTTTTTTCTTTTTTTAACCTCTCGATGGATGGCATCGGTGCTCCGTATCAACAACAACCAACCCCCACCAGGCCCCGAACGCTACTCGGGATTGTAACCAGTGGTTATCGGTATCTAGAAAAGAGAATTATAATCATATTGGCACGTTACGTGTGTGGAGTACAGAGCTTATTTGGACTTGCAGGATGGATGTGGCCGGGACATCCACATGAGTGAGCGTCCAGAGCATTGGCCCCCAACTTTTGATTGCCCGGTTACTGGCTGCTACGAACTACGCGGGTTGTTTACTGAGGCGTGAGATATGTTTATTGGTAAGGACTGCAGAGATGGCTGGGGCCGATAGGGCAAGCAGATGAAAAGGTGCAGAGAAAGAGAGTGAGAGTGTGAGGGAGAGGGGTCAAGGGTGGTTGGTAGGCGAGCTGCATATTGGGTCTGAGTATTACAGCTGCACACCCTCTTGAACTGGTGGGACAGGCAGATTGGAGGGAGTAGGTACATGTAGGTACATACATGTAGGCGGTCATTATGAGTAATAGCTACTCTGTTCATTAATTCGGTGATGGAATACCCTGTTTTTGGAATTGGGATGGGGGAAGTTCGTCATGGACGTACGACGTTCCTCTCTTTGCACTTTGCCCACGAGTGTGCTCTCTAGAGGTAGATAGAGTGCTCTACGAATCTACTCCATTTGCCAGTCTGCATGCCACGGCCATGGGTGTACGTAGGTAACCCGCGCAATCGATAGGTGGATCTACAAGTAGCCGCACCGCTATCTTTTCTGGAAGAATAGTAGAAAAGGGTAGCAACCTCTAGCGGGACGGAATGGCCAACGCTCATTGGTGGGTTTCACAACTAATTGCAGTCGCAAGCCCGTACGAGTATGGGCACGTAACGTGGGAGAAAGGCGAGTCTTGGTATGTTTAGGGTAGAGGCAAGACAGGATAGAGTACTGGTATTTTTCGCCTGTTTCGTAGTTCCCACCGAGAGGAGAGAAACAATTGCGGGATCCAGGTGAACGATTTCAGAAATGTCGGCAGATCTATGCAGACTGGAAAGGGAAGACTCAAACAACAGCAGTAATCAGATTTAGGTAGAGCCCCGCACAAATCCGTCCTGTCAGAAGGAGAGAAAAAGATCGATGTCCCTATCCACCCCCCGGTTGGAAATTCTTCTGGATCACAGGGCACTTGGTTGGGTTTCGTCTCATGTTCAGCAAGATTACGCTTAAAAAAGCACACATTTCTGGAACTATACATCTGGCC